CCGCCACCCCCTCCCGACATGCCGGCTGCCGTCACTGACACTCATTTTCAACAAAATGCCTGTGCCGCGATTGCTGTTGCTCAACGGTGTGGGACAATGGCGGTAAAATTCTACCTTTTCTTTTTTCCCCCCACTGCACAACTGAGCCGCGCCCGGGGGGGCCATGGCGAGCCAGCGCGGCACGCCTCTGGTGGCGCCAGGGTGTTTTTTCCACTGGAAGGAGCTGTGCCATGCCATGCCACCGACGTAGCACGCAACGGACGAGTCGGGACGCGTTTAGCGATGCTTTGTCCTCGTTGCGCTTGCTGGCTGGCGTCGCACGCAATGAACGAGTCGAAGGGACGTACAGTGACACCGTCTGTCCACCGTCTGTCCGCCCCCCCCCCCCCCCCCCGAGTCGGATGTATTGTGAGGCCAGCATAGCACGATTTACTTCACTCTGCACGGCAAATGGCCAGTGGAAAACCACCCGTAGTACCGTGAGGGCTCCACACTGGCTCTGTTCGGATGTTGCAGGGGAAAACAAAAATGGGTATTTGGACATCGGCTGGGGGATTAGCAGAGGTGGCGGGCTGCGCTTGTTCCAATAGTCCATTTCACAGCCCATCGACAGTGTTAAAACATGCAAGATATTTTTTACTTTACGCTGAACGTTGATCTTTAAAACGATCAAACTTAAATAAAAAAGCGCACTTGATGCGTGCTGTAAATCATACATCGGCCACCGTCTGCTTTGGTCTTTTCATTTCTGTTGATGTCATTGTTGGGACTGGTTTTGTTTCTTAAACATGTCAGTGTCCGTATTTTCTAACGGGGTAGAGAACGTTTAGGTGGATGTGGTGAGCTGGCAATGCAAGTGATGAGTGCAGCAGCATCATGGAGTTTGGGCTCATGGAATTCATGGTGGTGATGTGGCGATTATGAAGATGGTGTGCCATGTGGTGGCACGCCAGCCACGCTTTGGAAGTAGGGTCTGTCCCCTCCTGGTGGATACTTCATTGCTATGATTACAGATGGGGTCCGTGAGGTCCCCCCCCCTCATTCCACACTCATAGATAATAGTTCTCAACGAATTATTCAAAATATATGCAACTACTGGCTAATTTTATGCATAGGCTTTCACTACCCCCACGATTCAACAATTAGTTTATTTTGGGTTCGATCACTAGATAAATGCCGGTTGTTTTTTTAACTAGAACCCTCCACTACCTGACAGAGCCAATCAGATCAAGTTGCCACGTGGAGGCAAAAACAATCGACCGGTTGATTGTTTTTTGTAAAGCAATATTAAAGAGGAGTGTTGAAAAGCGAGCGATTATTTTTTGAATTGTATCATAAATGTTCCGGCTACTGACCCAAGTACCGATCTGGCTGCGCTACTGTGCATTTGGCAGTTCAGCCGTGAGCGCCGTGCTCCAATAAAAGCAGGCAGCGATTGAAACGCCGATCTTGCGGATATTAGCCGATAAAATAAAGGGGGCACGTCACATGACTACTCAATCCATGGATCGATTGCCAATTAATCCACGCAGCGATTAGCCGGCAAATAACGATTAACCAGGTATTTTAAAAAATATATTCTTATGCCCGTTTTTACATTAATGAAGAACATTGGATTCCGATGTCCGTTTTCATCTTAAACTTGATTCTGTGAGTGCATGCAACACATCTACTGCTGGATGAATGCCGCCTCCAGCCTGCTCTCCCTCCAATTCACAATCCGTATAAGCCAGGGTCTCTCCACTGCTGGGTGAATGCCTCACTCCTCTAGCCTTCTTCCCCCCCCCCACTAATGCACCATCAGCGTTGCGCTCGCGAACGAAGAGCGACGCACCGTGCCGCTTGGCCAGGGAGCCGGGTTCCACCATCGGGGTGACCTCCCCGTGCATGGAGAGCGCCCCATGTCTCGGACGGGTGAGGCGGACTGCTGCTGCTGATTTCCCACCCAAAAACTCTTGCTCCGTTTCTCTACCCCATTGTTACTCAATTCCGTCACTGTCACCTCATCCATCACAAATAACACACCCCGATACTTTCTCAAACAATGGCACTTCCCATGTTGTTCGTTCTTTTCCTCCAGTCTACGATATTCTATTGTTTCATGCTATTGTTTGTTTCATAAGGCCTGCACCTGTCACCTGTAGCTTAAAGATGACTCATTTGGAGCTATACAGGCGACCCTCTGCGTGTTCTCTCCGTGGTCGCGTGGATTTTTTTCAGGGTCTTCCAGTTTCTCCTTCCACATTTAGAAACATTCGTTGAGAGCAATTGGCTGCAGTACATTTCCACATGGTAAGCCACTTCGTTGAGCTATCATTTGTGATAGACGGGTCGCGTTTTCGCCTCAAAGCCCAGCAGCGCTTGGTTATAAGAGATCTGTGGACATTCCCACAGCAATTGGACTGCGATGTCCAGCAGATGAAATACTGCTCAGCAAATGGGTTGTGAACGCAACCTTGCGGACCTTTGAGTGTTACCTCAGGGTACAAATGTGCCCAATTGGGATTACACAAAGCAGGAGCAGTCATCGCCCCCTTCCTGCCAGACCAATGACCCAAGTCGCTCTTGCAAATGAGCTGAATCCAGGTTTCTTGAGCCCTCGCATGCGTGGAGAGCTGGCTGCAGGTACGGCTGCTTTGCTTACACATAACCCCTCATTCATGGGATTTGGCCAAACAACCTATTGCAGCAACCTCCCATTGCGGGATCCATTGAGCCTTGAGACTCAATGAGGGTTTTGCAGATTAATAAATGGCGTTAATCCATTGCAGCCATTGGGGTACTAAACATCAATAGCGTGATGAATATACATCGTAAGGCATGTTCGGTGTGCTACATTTACTAGACCGTTGATACATGGATTTCTTCGGTTAAACCATGAATCCATTAGAATCGCCTCGGCAACATTGCCACTGCTCAACACGCGCCTTCCTACATTCACTCTTGCAGCAATTCTCCTGAGGGATCCATGCAAACATCCAATGAACAATTCCCATTCCGGTAGAGTGTTAATCACGCAAGCTCCATGGCCACATTTTGTCAACCCACTGCACAGTGCGAGGTGGAGCGGGTGACTTGACCATACTTCACCATATTCTTAGGTTTTTTAGGTAATGTCACGTAGGTAAAAAATAAAAATTAAAATTAATAAAAGTAAAATAAAAAATAAAATAAAAATCACGATGTTTCAGAGGCAACACAAGCTTCCGTCTTCAGGTGGAACCTTCACAGCACGATAGCTGTATCAAGTGAGAGAGATTCCAAGAAAACAGTCCTTGTATATATACTAGTTGAGGGTGGGAGGAGCCAAGGTAGGCCCTGAATATTATTATTGTGAGGTTCGGTGCGGCTGAAGCACGCTGTTAGGAATGAGCCTTTGTTGTGTAGACTGGTTGAACTCGGAGGTTCCAAGAGTTGTTAAGGTGCGGCTGATGGAAAGGTGCGCGTAAATGGGACTGAGCCTTTTGTTATGTAGAGGTGGTGCAGCTGAAACCGCTGCCAGGAATGAGTCTTTGTTGTGTAGACTGGTTGAACTGGGAGGTTCTAAAAGTTGTTAAGGTGCGGCTGATGTGAATGGGACTGAGCCTTTGTTATGTAGATGAAACAGCACTTTGCTACGTTGCTGGGATTAATTCTAGATTTGCCAAATATGTGTGGTAAAACTTAAAGTAGGAAAACCAGTGTGTGAAAAAAGAAGAAACTATACGGTAACTGAAGAATAGTGCCTGTCAAATAAGATGGTCCAAATATGTGTAGTTAACTCTGTTTTGCATGGTTAATAATATCTTTATTTTATTTTTATTTTGCTTTTATTAATTTAAAATTTTTACCTACGTGACTTTACCGAAAAAAACCTAAGAATATGAATCCTTGCAGTCACGAAAGCTTCAAATCTATAATCATACTTCACCACGCTGGTCAGTGCGGGGTTGGTGAATGTTGCGGAGCGGTAGTCGCTCGCTGCCCTGCGAACCTGGCTACCCGAGTTCGATTCCCGCTCACGGCCTACACCGGTGACGATTATCTGGGCCTCCCCTAGGTCGACTCAGCCTCAAACGAGTACCTGGTGCGGTGTGTAAACATCATCGCCAATGGGGTGCTGGTCACTCACCCCCCTCGTGTGTCGTGCCGGTCTTCACAGGTGCTACTCGTTATCACCACTTGCCCCAACAGTCTGTGGAGGCTACACGGGGGATCTTTGTAGGTGCTACTCGCTAACACCACTTGCCCCAACAGTCTGTTAAGGCTACACGGGGGATCTTTGTCTTTGTAGGTGCTACTCGCTAACACCACTTGCCCCAACAGTCTGTGGAGGCTACACGGGGGATCTTTGTCTTTGTAGGTGCTACTCACTAACACCACTTGCCCCAACAGTCTGTGGAGGCTACACGGGGATCTTTGTCTTTGTAGGTGCTACTGGCTAACACCACTTGCCCCAACAGTCTGTGGAGGCTACACGGGGGATCTTTGTCTTTGTAGGTGCTACTCGCTAACACCACTTGCCCCAACAGTCTGTGGAGGCTACACGGGGGATCTTTGTCTTTGTAGGTGCTACTCGCTAACACCACTTGCCCCAACAGTCTGTGGAGGCTACACGGGGGATCTTTGGTGAATGCTGGGAGCCAACAGCAGTGCAAGTAGTTAGCTCCGCCTCCCCTGCCGCCCTGGGGAGCCGTGGTGACGTCGCCGCGGCGTGCGTGATGACGGCGGCGTGTGTGGTGACGTCACCGCGGCGTGCGTGATGACGTTTCAAAACACTGGCTGTGTCCACCAATGGGAAGCCGGCTTCTTCCCCCCACTCGGCGCTCCACCAATGGGAGGCTTCCTGCATATTACAAACGCCCGCACGTGACCGTCACCGCGTGGCTTTCGGGCGCGGTCACCGAGGCGGCAACCGCCACTGGCGCCGCATTATTAGAATTACAGGGGCAGCCAATCCGCGTGGCCCGTTCTGGTCACGAGGCCGCGTCACGTGCCTCCCAGCGCATTTGTGGTTCCGGGGCCGTTGGGAGCAGTCGCATTGCAGGTCGCTCTCCTCTCTCTCTTTACGGACGCGGTTTTTGATCTTTATATCCTCGACAAAGTCAACCCGAGTGAAGACTTACATCCGAGTGGTGGAGCAGATACGGGTGATTGAATGTGAGTGCGATTCGGTGTAAAGTTTCAGACGACATCCACAATTTCAACGACACGAAATTGCACTCCACCACACTCCCGCACTATACCACAATACTACGCCACACCACTACATGGATACGTTGTACCACAACACGACTCACAAAGATACAGATCCTCGGTATAGCCTTAACAGACTGTCAGGGCAAGTGCTGTGTCGTGAGCAACTATTAAGGCCTGTCACGGTACACGAGGGGTGTGGGTGGGTAGCCAGCACCACGCCAGTGGCGATGTTTGTACACCCCGTACCAAGTACACATTTGAGGCGGAGTTGACCTAGGTGAGGCCCCAAGCCACACCATTTACTATGGCCAGCCCTTGCTAGTGTAATGAGATTATGTGACGACAGAGATGGTTGATGGAGGCAACACGTATTTATTACAGATAACTTCAATACAGCAGAGTAACGACTAACACTCGAAGAGGTATCGGCCTCTTCACCCGGTCTAGTCAGGGGAAGTGTTCCCCAGTTAACGCTCCACATTAACTCCCTACTTCCCTCTATCCTAGACCTTCCTCATATGGAGGCTAGCTCCTGGCCCAGCTTCGGCACAGGTCCCGACCCTCAGCCACACAAGCCCGGCCCTCACAAGGACATCGGGCCTCGCTGCTCTGGGGGTCGCACCTCTGGCTTGCTCTGCCCGGCCCTCAGAAGGGCAACGAGTCAGAGGAGTTCCAGGGTCCCGCTAGCTGGCCTTCAGTCTTCACTGGTTCTTCGTTTTGGGCTGAGACGAACTGAGCTCTGCTGGCCACTAAAACAAAATTGGCCTAGTAAAAAATAAATGGCCAGTCAAGAAAATCTATCCAGCAAAAAATATGAAGTGGACAGTCGAGAACGGATTGGCCCGTAAAAAGTGTGGCCGGTGAAAAAAATGGGCACTAAAACAAAGTGTACCTTTTAAAAAATGAAGTGGCCACTAAAAAATAATTGGCCTAGTAAAAAATAAAGTGGCCACTCAAGGAACTCTATGGCCGGGATATAAATATAAATTGGACATTCAAAGTAATTGGTCCGTAAAAAAGATATGGCCAGTCAAAAAATGTGGCCAGTCAAAATAACGTGGCTAGTCAAAATTAAGTGGCCAGTGAAATGTTATTTGGCCACTAAAAGAGAAGTGCCACGTAAAAAAGTGGCCATTAAAACAAATAATTGGCCTATTTAAAAATATAGTGTCCACTAAAAATAAATTGGCCTTTTAAAAAATTTGGCCAATCAAGAAAATTTGGCCTGGAAAAACGGATTGGCCCTTAAATATATGGGCAGTCAAAAGATTGGCCATTCAAAATGAAGTGGCCAGTAAAAGAAATGTGGCCCATCAATATAATGTGGTCAGTCAAATAAATTGGCCAGTGAAAATAAGGGCCTATTAAATAATAAAGTGGGCAATTGAAAAAAATGTGGCCATTAATGGAAATTTGCTATTAAAAAAATAACATGGACAGTCAAGAAACTCTGGCTGTGAAAATATACAAATTGGCCAGTCAAGAATATCTGGCTGGGAAAATAATAAAAGTGACCATTCAAAAGAATTCGTCCATAAAAAATATACGGCCAGTAAAAAAGTGGTTCGTCAAAATAAAGTGGCCCTTAAAAATACTGTGGTCAGTAAAAATAAATTGGGCAGTCAAAAAACAGTGGCCACTTCAAAAAAGCATGCCGATTAAAACAGGAAATGGCCAGCATTAAAAATGTTGGCAGTAAAATAAATATTATAAATATGGCCTATCAAAATAATGTGGGCAGTAAAAATAAAAATAAAGTGGCAGATGAAAAAAGATATTGGTCATTGAAAATTAGGCATCCAGACATCCACCCTACGTCATTCCTTGTGGAATAGATACGTAGATGACACTTTCGTCATTTGGCCACATGGCCTGCCAGCATTGAACCAATTTCTCAACCACATCAATTTCATACACCCATCCATAAAATTCACCATGGAAGTGGAGAAGGATGGTAAGCTACCATTCCTGGATGTTCTGTTTGAGAAGAGGCCTTGACGGCTCGTTGGGACACTCTGTCCACAGGAAATCCACCCACACAGATTCCTATCTAAAACCTGGTTCCCACCACCATCCGGCCCAGAAGAATTCCCTCATCATAACACTACACCATAGGGCCCACTGCATCTCCAACCAACACCACCTAGCCAGTGAACTGGAACACGTACACCAAGCCCTCAAGATGAATGGGTACTCGGACCGCATTATTCACATAGCTGTTTCTCCAACCATGGAGAAACAATCTAATGAGAAGCCAATCAAAACCATCACTTTACCATACATAGGTGTTACCAAAAGATTTCCAAAATCTTAAACAAACACAAGATCCAGGTCCGATTCAATACAATACACAAAATATGTGATCTAATCCTATCTGTGAAGGAGGTCATTCCTGACATGCAATACCCTGGAGTCTACAAACTGAGTTGTACCTGTGGTAGCAGTTACATTGGGAAAACAAAACGACATGTCTCGGACCGTGTCTGCGAACACAAGGCAGATCTGAAGCACGGCAGAACCAGTACCTCTGCCGTAGCTGACCATTGTTATAACGCTGTGGGCTCGCATGATATTGTTTTTTCCGAGACCAAGGTACTCTGCAAACCTTCGGGCTACTATCAAAGGTTTGTTCATGAAGCCATCCAGATATATAAACATCGACATAACTTCAACCGAGAAGATGGATACAAATTGAACAATCATTGGAAGGATGTTATTAACCAGGTAATGCCTTAACTGGTTGTGGTTGTTCTTATCGTATCCGCCGGTCTACTAGCACCTTTTGTCTTTCCCCCCGTGTCCACACTCAGCTTCCCACTTCTAGCCCCGCCCACTTCCCCCCCCACCTCACGTCCTCTTCCCCTAGCGCTCACGCGGCCCCCCCTCCCCCCACCCCACACCCCCCCTCTCTCCTCCCCCTTGCTCCTCACCCTTTTTCTCATTCCCACCTAATTCCTCATCTTTCATTCACTCAATGGTTGTCTTTCTGTTTCATGGGTTTCTCTTTCAGTTTCTTGATTTTCTCTCTCAGCTTCTTGGGTTTCCCCTCAAATTGTGGGATTTTTACTGCCAGTTGATTGGATTTCCTCTCAAAAAGTGGCCCGTAGAAAAAAGTTCCTTTAAAAAAAAAGTTACCTTTAAAAAATAGTGTCCTTTTGAAAGAGATGGCCAGGGAAAATTGACCTGTCAAATCCCAGTGCATCTCTAAAAGTCCAAATGCTTTCCTCCAAAAAGGTTATGTGTAGCGTCTCGTCATACTTATGCTGATTCTGACGATACTGAGCATGTGTAAATCTCACGAACCTCTATCCTTATGAGCTAAAGTCTCTCTGGACCACGTGGGATGCAGGCTTAAAGGTAAGTCGGCATACTTTAAAAGAACATGGGACCCATTCTTAAATAACCCATTAAACCCCCTTCCCATATCGGAGACCCTCAGGCCCAGTATCACCAGGACAGACACAGCTTGTGAACGCTGTGAGATGCCCCCCAGCCAACACTCAGCTCCCTCACCTCCCATCAGTTAACCACTCTCCCACCCCCCTCCTCTCCCCTTTTCCCAACACTCGTGTGTTCGTTTTAAGAAAAGGTTCCACCAATCCTAGAAAATCCCCACAGTGAGCTCTGTAAATAAGAATGTGCACGACCTGTAACGGTGGGCAGTATGTTTATTGTTGGAATATTACCATGCATTGGACATGTGAATAAAAACATCTTTGTCAAAGCAACTCTGGCGACTCATCAGGGCATTTTGCACTTTACAGTATTGTCCATGAGGGGCTGCTTACGGTGCAAAGTTCCACGTGTGCCTATACGAGGATTTGTATTGACTCCTTTGATGTCATCACCCTTTACTTGCATAATACACGTGTTTTTGGGTTAGATCGCGTAAATATATACATATGTCGTTAAACCCGCCACCACCCGACACAGCCAATTAGTAAGGTTTGTCACGTAAACAGACATGCCATTTAGTTACTAGTACAGCACACCGGTGTGTTGGAGAGCCAAGCCACAACATTTACAATCTCAGTACGACGATTCGCCAGTAATTACAACCAGCTTCATCAGGCGACAACCAGATTTGTGGAGAAGTCTACCTGTTTCGTTGCGCGAAGTGGGGAGGGGATTAATGAATCCATGCACATTATTATGCATGCACATTTTGTGAGCCCATTGATCTTGTACTTCCTGTCCATTGTGTGTATTAAAATAGCTGTACCAACAGTAATCCCTATTGAAGTATGGTGGCCTGTATAGGCATGCATTTAAACAATGTTTTATTTCATGATTCGCTTCCAAGCAGCACTAAGTATGTAGCTATCCGAACGATTACGATTATTTTTATTTTTTCTTAATTTCGATAGATTATCGAATTAGTCTTGGCCAGTAGTCACTAGTTTTACACAGAATTTCAACATTGTCAAAATCAATTGAGTGTCCTTGTTGGCACACGTGTTGTGCTACTGATGACAGTTGTATTTGGGAGTATTTAATATTTCTTTTGTGTCCTTTTAGTGTCGTGCTGATCATTTGTCCTGTCTGCCCAACATGCCATTTGCCACAAGTGCGATTTAGCCAGTACACACCTTTTGTTGATAGCTTCGGTAATACATCTTTTGTACCAGGTATTAATTTCTGTATTTTATGGACCGTGCCAAATCTGACTCGGATGTTTTCCCCCCCACGCATCTGGCTAGTTTATCAACACACCGGTGTGCTGTACTAGTAACGAATTGGCATGTTCTGTTTACGGGACACTCCTTAATAATTATCTGTGTCAGGTGGTGGCGGGTTTAACAATATATTAATATATTTACATGATCTAACCCAAAAAAAACTGTATTATGGATGATTTTGGTCGCGAACGCCTACGTGTTAAACTGACCCTTTACTTGTTTGGCGCAGTGGTAACACTCGGCCCCAGAGTGAGAAGAGTTCCCCAGCTCAGGCGCACTTCTACGTGGAGTTTATTCACTCGTCTCTGCTCTGCACGGGTTCTCTGGGTTCCTCCCATAGCTAAAAACATACGATGTAATTAGTATTGGCTAAACATCCCAATTCTAAAAATACATGCAGATTACTTTATTTAGATTACACAGCAGGAACCTCCTGAAAAATTATTGAGGCTCAGCGATGGTCAAATGGATGCTGTGTACAAGGCATAAATTCAACATTGAATTTGTGCATGTTAAGTTATTACTGTTTACCCGGTCACTGTGACCACGAGTGGCAGAACACCGCAGTTTATCGGCAGGCAGCGCTGGTGCTACGTAGCTTCCAGATGCCGAGTGGAAGCTGTGCGAGGTGCGACGGGCGGCGGCGTGCGAACCGGTGGACGTGGTCGACCTGCCCCACTTGGCCATCAGCAAAGGCGGCCAACGAGCTGCGCCACGATGCACGCACACACCCCACGCATTGCCTCCCACGTATCCACACGCACCCACGTGTACTCGTACCCACGCGCATACACACTCCAGGCACTGTCACCCACCCATGCGCTGCCCCCCACACACGCATTGCACCCACACACAGACGTACGTGCATCCACGCACTCCTAAATGCTCACCGATGCAACCCCACACGCACCCACGCACGCCCACATACTGTCACCTGTGCCAGTACCTCTGCGTACATGCGAGATGTCAGTACTCGTATATTTATTTCATAGATGGGTTTCACACTTCCGATTAGCACGGTTGGTGACGTACAGGTCGCGTCCACAGCGTTATGCAGCTGATGGAAAGATGATAATGCTCGACTGATTCAGAGTAGACCACACACACAGCGTACACTGGCTCCACAGAAATAAGTGACTATCGCACCTTTTCTAATACATTTCGGATTGCAATGTATAAAGCAGGAAAGATTGACAATTGGAAGGTAACGTTGCTGCAGAAACACATTATTCAAAACGTTAAGGCCAAACAGCATCTGCTTGAGCATGCGATGGATGTGCTGCCAACTGTCGCCCTCTCTCTGATCTACTCCGTGGCAGAGTAATGTGCTCCAAGCCTGGTCCGGAAGCTCATGCACAAAACTGCTACACATAATTTATTAATGCACATATACCCTGAGACCAACACCAATCTCCTGGCTCTCTGGTCTGGCAAACATTCTGCCAACAAATATCCACAGAGATGTGCAAACTGCAAGGGAGTTTACACGTTTTCTTGCCACTTTCCCATAACCAAACCCTCAACAATGTCGATCACACTGTCACCACCCTAGAATCTCACCCAGATCCGGAAGAATTCTAGCGAACAGAGCGGAAGAATACGGACGTCCAGAATAAATGCCTCGTGTGAGACCCAAACATCGCACCTCCTGGCTCTGACATTCATCGAAGACACCGGTGGTGTAATTGTAATGACTCCGACGACAACAATATAAGAACGGCCAATTTATGAGTTATTCCATAAGGAACCCTACTATGGATGACACAACAAGAGATCCTAGGCTTCGTGACTGTCTTACGGCTTGTATCCTCCTCCGAACCTCTCCGCTCCTCGTGCTCTCCCCTTATACATCCCTCAGCCCCCCTTTCTGGAATGTTCCTTCATCCTATTTCCCTCAGCCAATCCCTGTCCTTTCCCTCTAACTGATCCATACCGTCGCCTCTGGATTCCACCTTGTTTCCCGCCTATTCTCCTTCAAAACTTTCCCTTCAATCACTTCTAAAGCCTGCCTCCTGGTCAATCCCTATGGAGACCTCTTTCCTCCAATCAGAGACTTTGGTTTATTTTTAAATAACCGTCAGGCTGCACATTTGCTTGGGGTAATTTTCGGTAATTACATAATCATCAACCGCCTCAGAGCACCAATAGGCTGATGCACACGTCTCCATTCATAGATGGGACATTAAAGACAAGCCACAGTGCTGCGATTGTGGCCATGCAACTCAAATGATGGACCATGGAGTCAACGACTGGAGTCTTCGTGTTGAAGAATAATGGAGCTCGCCCCCCTCTCACACCCCCGACTCTTGTTTCCCCTGCGGGCCTGGCACTACCGCTCCATGAATTGAATGTACCCCCCTCCCCCTTCTTCCCTCACCACCCCTTCCCCCCCCCCAGATAAAAGCACATTGGCTTCCCGACGCGATTCATTTGTGTGCAAGGCGATCGATGTCTACCACCCCGACACCCGCGTTTAAATTCCCCCGTCTTATCACCTAAAGCGTTGTTCGGGCCTATGTTGTTGTTTAAAAAATCCTCATAAAAAAGAAGCGAGCCGCACATTAAGCGTTCAACATCTGTCTTTTATTTTGTCCCGACAAACTTTGTACATCAATATATAAAAAGCTATGACAAAAGTGTATCAATATAAATAATCGTAATACAAAATACATGGTGATAAGGCATACACAAATCGTATAACAGTATCGTTTTAGACAACACGTGCGAAACATTTTTAAGTGTCTTGAGATTTAGAGATCATCTCAACATTTGGGATTCGCTGCATTGGAATATGAACCAGCCAAAGCTACTCTACATTGAAATACCGCAATTTGGAGGCATGCTTTGTGAAAACATCTCAATACTTCATTTCTTTCTCCAACTCGTCTTAGCAAGAGCTTCACAGTATAATTATTTGAGTCAACTATGGGGAGTTATTTAATACAACATTTTATTTGATAAAACCCCCCATTGTGCACCCCGTGAACTCAAAAATTCGTGATTTGCTGTCGTCTCCCACGATCTATCCTCTCTCCGTGCCACGTCCGTTATAAAAGACGTCGGCCATCCATGACCTTCAACCATTTAGCTCTGTCCATGATATTTGCTAAAAAAGCTTTGCATGTGATACTCCTCCCACTTGCATCCAATGTTCAAATTGCACACTGTTACTTAATTCGCTATCTTCCCCCGGCTTCTTGTACCTATAATTTCCCCAGTCGCCTAGCTTCTACTGCTGGCAGATTATTCTCAAATGCACACAACTTTACAATGGTTTTGGCCTTACATTTAATGACTTACGGATTGTAAGGGTATGCCCATGCCGAGATTCAGAAACCTTTGATTGAAACGTAAAAGGTTGGGAGCTGAGAGTCGGATTGGAAAGGCAAACACTTGTACAGCCATGCTCGTTGACATGTATGGTGCAGTCTCTAATCTAGTAAAAACTGAATTCATACGAGGGTTGTGGAACGGCAACCAGTAAAATCAGTAACCGTTATCGGGACCAGTTACCGGTTTCAAAAGTCGGTTCACGAACATGCCGATCGGCAAACGCGAATGTGCAAAGCACACGGTGCCCGAAGTCACCGCAAGGAAACATTTTCCCTCGTTACACAGCGCAAAGGTAAAGGCGCAGCCCTGCAGTTGCTTGCAGCTCACACCATTGCTGGAGGAAGGGCCTCCACTAGCGGGAGCTCTAGAGGGAATTTGACCTACTCTTCCACGCTGAACTGGACGTGTCGGTAGCTGTCGACTTGTCTATGTTCAGCAAGTCGGTAAATGGTTCATTTAAACATTTCTTGCGTTTACCAGTAACGCAAACAAAACATGGTAATTCATACAAGGAATAAAGCGACTCATCGATTCATCTATTAATACAGATTCTTAAGCTCACGGCTGATACGTCATCTCGCCACGGTGGCGAGATGTTAACTCCCTCATCTGGTATACAGGAGGTCGTGTTCTCACCGTGGTTGTGTGAAAATTTTCTCCGGGTCCAATTTTGAAACATTCTGTTAGAGTATTTGGCTGCTATACATTTCCACGTCATGATAAGCAACTTCTTTGAGCGATCATTTGTGGCCAGGTCACTTCTGAAAAATAGCTACATAACTCAGTGGGCCTTACTAAGCAACATAAAAACTATCGTTTAGTTTGCATGTGTAAGATTTTTGCTTTTTCAAATTCTTATTGGCGTAGAGCCATAGCACACTGGTCAGCGCACTGTGTTGTGAACCCAGTACCCGCGTTCGATTCCAGGCCACGGCGTACATCGTTGGGCGAGTGACATCTGAACAGTTTCTGATTCTCCCTTCACCAACCCGCACAAACAACCTCAATGACTAAAACGGCATGGGGAGGCCTTCACTTGGAAGTGGCTAGACAAAGGGCTGTAATCTGTGGTGCAAGTACAGTTATGGGTTCACGTGGCGGCAGTGACGCGGTCACCACTTGCTGGATTCGCAGAGCTTCGCGGTGCGAATCCAGTGGCCGCCCTGATTATCACTGGGTGCATCATCACCACCTGGGATTCATCAAGGTCGAGTATGATGATCCTCCAAGGACAGCGATGGTGGCCAGCTTTTGTGGGTACAGAGGTGGTGGATGATGAGGTCAATCCTAGAACCACATATCTTGTGACAGTGACGGTGCGCGTTGTCGTTATTGATAGTTTGGAAAGCTTTGAGAGCATTGTCCCATCACTGGAGCGCGGAGAGAGGCGTTCGGCCTTGGTTTATCGGGCATAGATGGCTTTGGTTGCTTTGAAGGAGTCGTGGGAGTTTTTTTATGTGTCTGGAAGTTGCTAAATGTCCTCTACCCTTTCCCTCCACCAATTGTTCTTAAGAGAGCGGGTTCTCTTCTGAACCGCAGCTCTAGCAAGACAGTAGTTCTGCTTCTGCGGGGGGAACTGGTGTCGCTTTGCGGGTGAAACAACTTGAAGAATACTCCACGCCGCCTGCTTCACAGTGAACATTCAAAGATTCCACTGACGCCGAACGCAAAGAGTCGGCCGTTGTGTAACGGCGTCAGTCCAAATTTGCTGAAAATCGAAAATTGACTCAATTGAGATTTTACACACGGCAGCAATCGTCGCCCCCTCCTGGCAGACTGATGCCCCCAGGGCATTCTTGCAAATGAGGCTCGTCCTGGTCGCTTGGATTCTCACCACCTGGTCAAATTAAATAAACTAACGCACATTATTCTGCAGCCATCGTGAGTGGTACCATACCATGTAGAAAACGTTGGAAGAATATCGTGGCCTTGAATTGTAGTAATTTATCAAATTGGCAGAAGCAATTATTCCAACCATAATCTTATCTTATATTTATACAGCGCCTTTATCCAAGGTGCTTTACAAGCGTTGACGAGTGGTACAATGAGGGTAGCTAAAGGTGGTATGGTGGATCGGGATGGGTATGGGGAGGGAGGTTAGTGGGTACGGGGTTTAGGGTGGGCACCTAGGGATGGAGGGAAGGATGGGCCAGGGAGAAGAGGTGGGTCTTGAGGGAGGAGTGCTGCCTGCTTCATGTGGAGGGGGAGTTTGTTCCAGTGCAAGGAGGCATGTCGGGAAAAGGGGCGGAAACGAGATTGTGCATCACACGTGAGTTATGCAACATGCACACGGAGTTGTAGTTTGAGAAAGGTTATATGCCATGATCAGAACATGTAAAGTCAACATCGGATGCAGTGGAGATGAGTTTCTTGAAGATGAGTTACTGTATAGACAACGTGTGTAAACAAAGGCTGGACATTCTCTGACAGCGTGAGTAACGACTACAGACCAACGTGTGGCCACGGACAGCCCCTTACAGCTGACGCAGAGAGCCCGAGTGATTCAGATGTTAGCGTGGCTTTTCGGCACGTGGCTTTTCGGCACCAAGGCAGCAACCCATGGCAACTCCTGCAGGCCAGCATCCAAACGGTTCGTGGATGCAGCTGAAATCCACACGGAAGGCCAACGTGATACCCCCAAAAAGACCATGCTCATCATTAACCACGATCGAGCCACTGCTGGATGGAGACCCACCTTGTCACCAAGACCCCACACGCTCTCACGACGCAATCAATGGCCATAACGTATGAGCGATTTTGTGGCAATCTTCACTTGAAAAAGTTTCCTCTTGTTCTGTAGACAGAACTTAAGTTGACCAACGCCATTGCCACGCAAGTTGCCACAGTTGGTAAATGCACATGTGTTTCTGAAGGTTGTTGGCAACATTTGCTCTAAATTTACCCCCGTGCACCATGCCATTTTAATCACGCGCTCTCCTCTTGTCCGCGGTAAATCCCACAATGTTTCTGCCGACACAAATAACGAATGGTCCACACGGTACCGGTGACTCTGTCCGAGTGAAATAACTGCATCAATAACACCTCTTGTGTTTGGCTGTGTATTGGCTGCACACTCTCCATCTAGGTACACTTGATAAAAAAATAAATTTCCGCACAATGCGCTATGTATAACAGCAGCTACCTTATACAAAAGATAAATTAGAATTTCTTATTGATATTTGGGTTAGATCGCAAAAGTAAAATGCGTGTTGTAAAATGGTATCCAGCACACCAGTGTGCTGAAGCAGTAAGATTGGCATGTTTGACAACTATATGAATTGTCTTTGTCGGGTGGAGGAGGTTCACAACACAGAGTTCACTAAGGCCATCTGACCCAAAAATCTATTATAAATAATAAAAAATACACTTTAGATTTCCATGAACCTACCAAAGCTTGCCTCCAGCACTCAAAAATAAACATTGCATTACAACAAAGGATAACATTTTAAAGAAAATAGAGCAGAGCTGTACTGAAAGCGCTGTATGAACGCAAATGTATTAAATGTCTCCGGGAGTAAGTGAGCTGCGATGCAGTGTCTTGCACGTTGGTCAGACAGACCTGGCAGGTGTTCACAGATCATCCGTGTCTCGACGTGGCACGATACCAACGGAATGCCCTCGATCTGTGCGTGAACCATCTCGGAGCACGCACGCCGGTGCTAATGTCCCCCCACCCCGCTCACCACCACCACCACCTTTCATAAAGCATTCGCTTTCGGAAAAGCATCGTGAGATGAAGTCGCATTGAGGTGGTATATATTTATACATTTAACCTGTTTGTTGCTGCTATACTGCTGTTGTCTAACCACGAGTGTCCAACACAGGCCTCATGGGAGTAGGAGGCCCGGGCTCCCCTGGAGCTGGGTCCGAGCTGGTCGGTCCGCGTACGGGAACGGGCAGGCGAGCCGTGGGAAACGATACAGATGATGGAAGTACCCCGAATACCGGACCACACCTCAGTCAATACCAGGTGGGGCGGACCGCCACAGGCGTCAGTACACCGCGTACGTGTTTTGGTTGCCGTTCAGCAGGCCCATCTCGTGGAAACTCTTGCCGGACGATCCCAGGAGCCCTCCCCCCCTCCCCTCCCCGAAGTTCTCCCCCCCTTCCCTCGTGTAGATCGCGTCGCCCGCCCTCCCAGATTTCACCGCGTCATCGCCACCCAGCAAGGTCACGGAGGCCGCGGGGTCGCGGTCGGCCGGCGTCCCGTTTGCCGGCGGCACCGGCGACGAGCCACGCTCCGCCTCCGTCCGGGAGGAGACCGCCACGTCGGCCGTCCCCTCGCCGCCGCTCTCGCCGACGCTTCCGCGGTCGCACGCGGAGCCCCGAGGGCCCGGGCATTTGACCCGGCCGTTGGGGTCGCCGCGAGGCTCCTCGATGTAGACGCCATCCGGGGAACGCGGCCCGTCGCACTGCCCGCGGAGCGAGTTTCTGTCGGGCGTGGGGCGAGATGGCACGGTCACAGCACTGCGGAGGGGACGGAGAGAGCTCTTGGGCTTCCGGTGACGCGTGTAAGCGGTTGTAGAAATGTGAAGATCTGTGAACCCACGCCTTCCAGGTTGCAACGTTGCAAGGTTATTTGGACCGGATATTTAGCCAATGGGATTCTGCAGGGCAGAGCGGAAGCATGCTGTCAGGCTGCAGAGATAGTCTTAGCCAGTGCATACCACGACAGATGTTCACTTTGAAATATATAGAGGATCCTGGACAATGCATGTGTTCACCCATGTGCCTGGTAAACTTCTGCACAATGGAACACTCAAACCGTAAACAAACAAGGTCTTGGCCAACTCTATTCGATTTAGGATTTTAATAGTGCCCTTTCCAGGGTCTCGCTGTACTGCCACCCGAGAGGCCCCTTCACATTACCCAGCAAGGTGGGTGTCTCACAAACGTCATCTTGGCTCCACGAATGCTCCGCCGTACTCTGACGATTTGTGCTCTTGATCGAGAATGCTGCGGCTTACAACCCCCCTCCCACCCCCTGGGAGGAGGCAAATCAACGCAGCACGGGGTGGGCGTGCACCCTGGTGAGGAGGGCAACGGCACGGGGCCCTGTCCAATCCTCCCCCCCAACGCCCTTCGGAGCCTGGCGCCTGGGGTCCCCCCGCTCCACAGCTGCCTCAATACAGATGCACCACCTGCACACTCTGTAGCTGCACCACCTGCACACTCTGCAGATGCACACCTGCACTCTCTGTAGCTGCACTACTTGCACTGTAGCTGCACCACCTGCACTCTCTGTAGCTGCACCACCTGCACTCTCTGCAGCTGCACCACCTGCACCCTCTGTAGCTGCACCACCTGCACACTCTGTAGCTGCACCACCTGCACTCTCTGCAGCTGCACCACCTGCACACTCTGTAGCTGCACCACCTGCACTCTCTGTAGCTGCACCACCTGCACATTCTGTAGCTGCAGCACCTGCACTCTCTGAAGCTGCACCACCTGCACACTCTGTAGTTGCACCACCTGCACCCTCTGTAGCTGCACCACCTGCACTCTCTGTAGCTGCACCACCTGCACCCTCTGTAGCTGCACCACCTGCACCCTCTGTAGCTGCACAACCTGCACCCTCTGAAGCTGCACCACCTGCACACTCTGTAGTTGCACCACCTGCACCCTCTGTAGCTGCACCACCTGCACTCTCTGTAGCTGCACCACCTGCACCCTCTGTAGCTGCACCACCTGCACTTTCTGTAGCTGCACCACCTGCACTCTCTGTAGCTGCACCACCTGCACCCTCTGTAGCTGCACCACCTGCACTCTCTGTAGCTGCACCACCTGCACCCCCTGCAGCTGCACCACCTGCACTCTCTGTAGCTGCACCACCTGCACCCTCTGTAGCTGCACCACCTGCACTCTCTGTAGCTGCACCACCTGCACCCTCTGTAGCTGCACCACCTGCACTCTCTGTAGCTGCACCACCTGCACACTCTGTAGCTGCACCACCTGTACTCTCTGTAGCTGCACCACCTGCACTCTCTGTAGCTGCACCACCTGCACTCTCTGCAGATGCACCACCTGCACTCTCTGTAGCTGCACCACCTGCACCCTCTGTAGCTGCACCACCTGCACTCTCTGTAGCTGCACCACCTGCACTGTAGCTGCACCACCTGCACTCTCTGCAGCTGCACCACCTGCACTCTCTGTAGCTGCACCGCCACTTGTTTGAGTGCAGCCTCCGACACAGCCGAAGGGTGCGATGGAAGGCCAACAAACTATGGGTCTCTGTGTGAGTCTATGGGTCTCTGTGTGAGTCTGTGGGTCTCTGTGTGAGTCTGTGGGTCTCTGTGTGAGTCTGTGGGTCTCTGCGTGAGTCTGTGGCTCTCTGCACGAGTCTGTGGGTCTCTGTGTGAGTCTATGGGCATCTGTGTGAGTCTGTGGGTCTCTGTGTGAGTCTGTGGGTCTCTGCGTGAGTCTGTGGGTCTCTGCACGAGTCTTTGGGTCTCTGTGTGAGTCTATGGGTCTGTGTCTGAGTCTATGTATGTTGAACGTCTTAACGCGCCGTACGTAGCCAACCGCGCGAATCGCCGTCCCCCGCGAGTGAGGGCAACGGCCCGCACGGCAGCGCTCACATTTTGTTGTTCGTTTCCATGGTGGGGGCGGCGGTGGTGGTGTCGGTGGGGGCGGCGGGGCCCGGGGAGCGGAGGGACTGCAGCTCGGCGAGCCTCTCCTCGGCGCAGTTGGCCGTGAGACGGGCATCGGCATCATGCTCCCAGCACTCCTCGATCACCGCCTTGAGACAGGAGATCATCTGCAACAAGAGTGGACGCGCGCGCGCTCGAGTCATCACGGCCTAGGAGACTTGGGGGTGCCACGGTGGGTAGGAGATGTTAACTACCTTGCCTGGTCGGCAGGAGGTCGTGGGTTTAATCCCGACCATGACGCCTGCTGCTGCAGTATATATTTGGAGTTTGCGTGTCTCTCTCACGATCCTCGTGGTCACGTGGATTTTTCTCCAGGTCCTCCCGTTTTCCCTCCACATTTAGAATCAATGTCACGCGTTTAGAGTATTTCGCTACAATAAATGTCCACGTGATGATAAGCAAATTCGTTGATCTATCATTTGCTATAGCCAGGTCGCTTCTGAAAAGAGCTGTATAGCTTAGTGGGGCCTTACCTGGTAAAATGAAATAGTTTTAGTTTCAATAGTTTATAACGCAATGCGCTCACCGCCGTGCTAACCGCTTCACAATTCTTAAACTCGGAACGGGGCCCCCGCCCACAGACCGAGAGATTCAATGTTATTTCCATCCTGCGATCAGACAACTCCTGGTGATCACACCTTTCCTTGTGAGCTCATTGCGAAACAGGCAGTCGGACAGAGACGGAGAGACGGAAAGCCAGAGAGAGAGAGAAATGGAGAAGAGAAGGAGAGACAGACTTCTGAAAAAGAGCTACATAGCTCGGTGGGCTTTACCTGGTAAAATAAAAGTAAAGTTTAGTAGATTCGTTTTTAGTTTACTGGAGCACGTGCGCTCAGCCACCATCCCAGCACTGTTGGCTCTGAAGAAGTGCGAGTACCTATACACCTTACCCCGCCACACGCGGCATGGTTGACCGTGCTAATTGGAGGTGCTAATCGCAGTGTGGATTACACACAGCAACATCGTCTCCTTCCTGCGAAAACCTGGCAGGACCCTCCTGACAAAAAGTCACGAGACTCAGCTGGGTTAAAAAATAAAACAACAATAAAAGCCACAGAGTTTTCGAACAGAAATGCGTTTAATCTAGATTTGAAGTTTTATTTTATTTTATACCTACGTCACTTTACCGAAAGAACCGAAGAGTATAGAAATGCGTTTGCCTCGCGACGACGACCATCAATGTTGCAAAAGGGGATAAATAGGTGGCCGTGACTCACGAAGCTGTCGTCCCTCCACGCGTCGGGGAACCTGGGCCTCTGCCGCTCTCGCGCCACAAAGTGCTGCACGTCCTCGAAGGACGGGTGGTTGCCCAGCTCCGCCTGCAGCGCCATCTCGTAGGGCGGCGCTCGGCCCTCTGACGTGGGGAACACCGCACAGGCGTCATGACGAGGGGGGGGGGGGGGGGTAACTGCAAGATCCGACCGTGGTCCATCCGGGGCTCGCCGAGCCGCGTTGGTTTCCGGTTGCCCAACGAATACAGCGGTGTCATATTCTTGGTTCTTTTGGTAAAGTCACGTAGAAGGGAAATAATAAAATAATAAAAATATAAAACGATAAAAATTCTCACGACGTTTCGACTGCAACACAAGCAATCATCTTCTTGGTTCTTTCGGCAAAGTCACGTAGAAGGGAAATAATAAAATAATAAAAATATAACATAATAAAATAATTCTCACGACGTTTCGGCCACAACGCAAGCAGCCGTCCTCAGGTGAAGAACAGGTCTGTCGGGAAGACAGCGTCTGAATGAAACACCCCAGGTTTGGAGCGTATATTTAAGCTGGGATGGAGGGGGAAGAGCGCCTTGACAAAATAATTTGCATATCAAGAGGAATTTAGCATATTTATGGGAAATGCAGATATGGGATTAGTCACTACTTGTGAAATGCGTAGGAGGTGGGCGGGGGGTTTCAAAGTCATATTATGCCTGTGCATTATGCAGGATTAGCAGCATCAAAGGGAGGGGATAGGGGTAGCATTAATAAAGGGAAGGAATGTTAATAGTATGTAGCTGCAGTAACTAAACCACCACGTAAAAAAATTAAAGTATAAACTACATAGTATCATCTTCTTGTTTCTTTCGGTAAAGTCACGTAGAAGGGAAGTAATAAAATAATAAAAATAAAACATAATAAAACAAAATAATAATAATACATAGTATCATTTATACTTTAGTTTTTTACGTGGTGGTTTAGTTACTGCAGCTACGCTCCAAGCCTGGGGTGTTTCATTCAGACGCTGTCTTCTCGACAGACCTTTTCTTCACCTGAGGGACGGCTGCTTGCGTTGTGGCCGAAACGTCGTGAGAATTATTTTATTATGTTTTATTTTTATTATTTTATTATTTCCCTTCTACGTGACTTTATCGAAAGAACCAAGAAGATGAATCCCTGCAGTCACGAAAGCTTGAAATCGAAACAAGCAATCATCATCAGGTGTAAAATCTTTTCCGAACATAGATGGACTCGTCCATCTGGCCAACTGCCAAATCGCTGTCTGTGGTGCTGACGTCAGGACAAACTGCCACTTTTTTAAAATTTTCTTGCCGTGGATTTCACACCTGATGATGATTGCTTGTGTTGCAGTCGAAACGTCGTGAGAATTTGTATTTTTTATATAAATATTATTTTATTATTTCCCTTCTACGTGAATTTACCGAAAGAACCAAGAATATGATTCCCTGCAGTCACGAAAGCTTTAAATAAAAATGTAGAATACAGCGGTGTCACGAGATCGCGCTTCTTGCGGACACACAAAAGTGCTGCGCCACGAATGAACTACGATGCCTTGGCTGACCTCGTCAAGGAGCGTAAAGCAGAATAATCACGTGGACTTCGGTCATCCTCGCTGCAGCAGCGGTGGCGGCGGCTTTTTATTGGCCGTCGAACACAGGCGGTTGCCGCATGTGCGCGCTTTCAGATGCGTTTCTGCTGCCGCTCTCCCTTCCGATATTAGGAAGCCACTGGAGCTATGCACCTTTAAATCCTCTAGATCAGGGGTGGGGAACCTTTTTCTGCCAAGGGCCATTTGGATATTTATAACATCATTCGCGGGCCATACAAAATTATCAACTTAAAAGTTAGCCCGTTATATTTGGTCAAACATTTAATTAACTCACCCCTAATGCGATGGCTGGAACCGCTTCTCTTTGGCGAGGCGTGTGATGTTAGCTGCTGTTGATGATGTTGCTACTCGCAACTGCTTTTCCAGGTTTGCTCCTAGATTTGTTGAATTTCGAGTCCCGCCTGCGGTTGCCTTGGCAGGGCCACACTAAATGATTTTGCGGGCCTCATACGGCCCGCGGGCCAGACATTCCCCACCGCTGCTCTAGATTGACAAACTCGTTCCTTTCGAGCTGCTTTTCGTATTTAGTTTATTGTCCTTCCTCCGCACCTCTGATTAGCACGTTTGTCTACGTACGGCGCAAAAGAAGTTCAACATACATACATAAGTAATAATCGATGAATTCCATTCTGTACGTGATGAGGAAACCATAGCAACAGGAAGGTTAATGTCGGCTGGAAACAAATAAATGTAACAACCCTTATTTCGAACAATGAAATGTTTGTTATTGAGTCTTTCTTTTAAAGACACCTGCCAGATGCACAGAATGCACGATATTGTCCCAGCGTCGTGCAAGTAAAGGATAAGCCTTTCTCTCAAATCTAGGATTTACCAGGATGGCCACGATGTAGTAACACTTTCTTTGTATCGAAAGATGAAATATTTACAATGAGATTATCATCCTTTTTGCCAAATATCGTGATTATGGCCATTATCGTCGCTCATATTCTTATTGCGAAACTTTATTTCCCGACAAAACACGGATGACGTCATTACAGTTGTTAAATTCTTAGCTATCGTCGAGCGCTTCTTAAAATGCAGTTTTCCTCGAGTAATCGGCAGCAGGGCGATTATGTTGCAATTGCTACCGGACATCTGTGAGAAAGAGCTTCATAGCTCATCAGATTCCTCCAGCCTAAATAAAGATGCTGATTCTGATATTGTATTACTTTGCATGCAACTGCCAGCATGGTCATGAGCATCATAGCGAGGTTGTAAGGACTGGACCGACTGGAGGCCTGCCAGCCTCTGCTGAGTGAACTGCAGTCGAAGGACCTGTCAGTCATCTTTATTTGTGCAGGAAGTGCAGCAAAGCGCCGATATCGTGATCACCGTCACATCGTCAATTGGAATATCGTATCGTGGGAATCGATGGCGCGGCAACGCTGGTATTTACTCTTGGCAGGGGCCTCATCTGAACGGCGGATCGGAGTCTCGGGTACCGGCGGCCACACGTAAGTGAGCCATGCGTAGGGCGTGGGTGGGCCACACGCGAGCCACACGCGGGCCGCACGTGGGCCATGGGTGGGCCACATGCGGACCGCGCGTGCGTCTCACCGGGGAAGAGGTTGCGGCACCGCATGAAGATCTCCCAGTAGACGAGGCCCAGCGAGTAGACGTCCACCTGCTTGAGCGCCGTCTCGTAGTCCGTGAGGTCGATGGCTCCGTCCAGCACCTCCGGGGCCATGTAGCGGAACGTCCCCACCTGAACGTACGCGTGGCCGCCGCGCACGCACGCACGCACGCACACACAGACAAAAGCCGAAGATACCCCGTGTAGCTATAGCGGCTGTTGGGGCGAGGGCTGTTCGCGAGCCCCCGTGACGGGCGGCGTGGCGCGCGTGGGAGCGGTGCTTTTTTAGTTTGTTGTTGTCCTTCCCCCCGCACCCTCCGATTAGCCTGGCTGGCTACATATGGTGCGATGTTCAACATTCGTACAAACGTAACAAAAACAATAATCAGAGTTCCGGGGGATGGACAGCAGTTATTCACTGCTCCGCAGGACTTTGTCTGGCGATACGTTCACTGGGCGTGTGTAAAGTTACTTTGCCTTGCAGTTTAGGTTTCAGTGCTCTCCCCATTCCCTTTCTCCTTCTCCCCCCTCCCCTCTCCGCCTTCCCCCCATCCCTTCTATCTCCTCACTTTTGTTCTTGTTCCCTCATCCTATCCGTGCTCCCCACTCGCGGTCCCCACCTGGTGGGGTTTGTGCCCTCCTTCCCCCGCACCTCCGATTAGCACGGTTGGCTACGTGCGGTGCGAAAGAAGTTCAACATACACACATGTAGAAAAAAAACACAATAATAATAATGGAGTTAAGCCACAGAAGTGCGCGGAGGAGCAGCTGCCATCCTGCGATGCGGCCGCACCTCGCAGATGGTGGAGGTGTCGTCGTCCCCGCCGCGCTGGACTGGCGAGCGTCGCGTCAGCTTCATGGCGAGGCCCAGGTCGCTGAGCACGCAGCTGTGGTCCGCGCGCACCAGCACGTTCCGGCTGTTCAAGTCCCGATGCGCGATGGCGGGCTTGTACTGGTCTGACGGGGGCGGCAGAGTGGGGGAATTGCGATCGTTAAAACGACCCTTTGAAATGAAAGTAAATAAAAAGTGGATTAACAAAAAATCAATCCCTGCGACCGATCGCGTTCCATTCAGTGGCAGTGGCGGTTGACGAGACGATGGCCGTTTTCTGTTGGGAAATCTGCAGAGAGCAGTGCATCGCTTTGTGTCAGTAAATGTCTCGGCAAGACGACGTCACAGAACGAATTGTGAACATCACTTCACTCGGCCTACCCCTCTGCACGCTTGCAGAGAACACTTTTTGGTGGCTTGCAGAGCTGCGTGTCGCATGTTAAACCATTGAGAATATTGAATAATTATTTGTATTTCAGGAGGAATCCGATGAGGGGCACGGGGTCAGAACGCTACAACAACAAACAAAAACACGGTCGGGAGTGCAAAGTGTAGGAAAGGTAAACAAATCACAAAAAAAAACCCACAAATAAAACAAAATTTTTCTACCTTATGAAAATTATAATACGTTTTACCCCATTCTTGGTTCTTTCGGTAAAGTCACGTAGAAAAAATAAAAATAAAACAATAAAATTATCATGACGTTTTGATTGCAACACAAGCAATCAACATCAAGTGTGAAAACCACAGCACTTTTGAAAAAAATTCTTGCTGTGGTTTTCACACCTGATGATGATTGCTTGTGTTGCAATCGAAACGTCGTGAGAATTTTATTGTTTTATTTTTATTATTTTATTGTTTTTTTCCCTTCTACGTGACTTTACCGAATGAACCAAGAATATGAATCCCTGCAGTCACGAAAGCTTTAAATCGAAAGTTTTACCCTTTCTGGAAATCAAACAAGAGGTGTTAAGATGTCCAAACATCAAATAGGTAACAGTTTTTGCGAGGAATCAGTCTGCATTAACCACACCCAGTACTTGTGGTGAACATGCAAACAAACATGCTCTGATAATGTAATGTATGATGCATTGGCTTTGAAACTGATTGGTCTACACCAGAGACTACCTTCTTTAGGGCCTTGTCTCACAGTGTCAGACCAGAGAACATCAAAAGTGAAGAGTACAAAGACAATGCACTATCAGAGCATTTATAGCTTGGGGTGAGCAGCTACATCATGGGATACCTTGTTTGCCAATATCATATTTTGATACTGGCAGGACAGGTCCCATGATATTTTCATCTTACCAGGTAAAGTCCACTGAGCTATACTCTTTGGTTATTTCGGTAAAGTCACATAGGTAGAAAAATAATAGATCACGACGTTTCGATCGCAACACAAGAAATCGCCATCAGGTGGGACAACCACAGCAAGACAAAACTGCTGAAGTAGGCGAGAGATCTGCCGTGGCACGAGGTTATATAGTAGGCCTCGGCAGTTGGGGGGAGGAGGCAGGGGGAGAGAGGGGGTGGGGGCAGGGGGAGAGAGGGGGTGGGGGCGGGGGGAGAGAGAGGGCGGGGCAAAAAGTGGACCCCGCGGCAGCACCCGGGTCATTGGAGTAGAGATCGGAGAGATGCACAGAGAGAGAGAGACACACACAGAGAGTCGGAGATAACAGCTGACATAGGCAGGTAGGATGAAAACATCACAGTCAGTTAAGACTTTACCTGGTTAATCACGTGCTTCCACTGAGCTATTAACTTATTTTTAGAAGCAACCGGGGCACAAATGATAGCTCAACAAAGTTGGTTATCACGTGAAAATGTATAGCAGCAAAATAATCTAAACGCATGTTTCTCAATTTATTTGAGTGTTAAATTACTGAAAATAAATCCCATTATACATTATTTCTCTTGTGCAGTCATTGGTGGCCGTGCTGAGACCATCAACTCGAGAGTCTGGTTACATCACGAGCAGCGGAAACCCAGTATGAACCCAGCATCTAAGCGGGTTTTCATGCATAACATTTACAGCGAATTGTCAATCCGCCTGCTGGATACACACCTCCCCATGCATGCCGTGTTGGTCGCGTAGATTTTTCTCTGGGTCCGTCCGGTTTTTCCCTCCACATTTAGAATGAACGTCACACATTCCAAGTATTTGGCTGCTATAAATGTCCACGTGATGATAATCCCACTTCGTTGAGCGATCATTTGCTATAGCCAGGTTACTTATGAAAAATAGTTGTATAGCTCAGTGGGGCCTTACCCGGTAAAATAAAATCGTTTTAGTTTCAACAGTTTATAACGCAATGCGCTCACCGCCGTGCTTCACGATTCTTCAACTCGGAATGGGGCCGCCGCCCACAGGCCGAGAGATTCAATGTTATTTCCATTCTGCGATCAAACAACTCCCGGTGATCACACCCTTCCCCTTCCCTGTGAGCACATCACGAAGCCGAGAGTCGGACAGAGAGAGAGAGATGGAGAAACAGAGAGATAGACGGAGACACAGAGAGAAAGAGAAACAGCGAGACGGAGAGACTGAGAGAGAGACAGAGAGAGACGGAGAGACAGAGAGACGGAGAGACAGAGAGAGAGACAGAGAATGCGCCGCTCGCGCCGGGATGCAAACCGTAGTCGCCGTTCTTGACGATCTCCGAGTGGAGGTAGGAGAGCCCCCGGGTGAGCGAATGCGCCAGGCGGCACGAGCATTCCCACTCGCTCGCGTTGTTCATCAGGAAGTTGCTCAGGGAGCCCTGCGGGGCGGCAGCACGCGCCTGGGGTCACGCGCGGAGGGCAGCGAGGGGAGCGGCGCGACACGGAGCCACGGCACAGTGGGGGGAGGGGGGTGGCATGAGAGTTTAAAACTCTTCAATCTTGATTTGAAGCTTTCGTGACTGCAGGAATCCATACTCTTTGGTTCATTCGGTAAAGTCACGTGGGTAGAAATAAAATAAAAATTGCCTGATGACGACCGCTTGTGTTGCGATCGAAACGTCGTGATTTATTTTATTTTAAACCATTGTTTATGTTACCAGGTGAGCTCCACTCAGCTGCTGCTTAGCTCTTTTTCAGAAGCGGCCTGGCCATCACAAATGGCAGCTCGGCAAAGTGGCCGATATCGTGATGTGACAATGTGTCGCAGCCAAATGTTTTTACGCGCAACGTTGATTCTAAATGTGGAGAGAAATACCGGAGGACACGGAGAAAAATCCACGCGGCCACGGGGAGAACACAGATGGGCATTGCTCAATCACCCCACGCCCCATCGTTGTCACTGTTATATTGGCACGGTTCGCACCTCCAATTAGCACGATTGGCTACGCACGGTGCGAAAGAAGTTCAACGTACACACGCACTCTATTACTATCATCATCATTATAACTCCGCTTGTTTACTCGGGAGAGCCTCACTGCCACAGCAAAACACTCATGCATGACGGCTAAGGCGAAAACACTTCAACTGCCGAGCATCAAGGTGAATTCTAGATTTAAAGTTTTCGTGACAGCAAGGATCCATACTCTGCATCCCTCCTCCCTTGCTTTTACCCTATATAATCGCTTGTCACATACAGCTCTCTCTGTCCACTACAGTAAAATGTTTTTGCTGGGGTTCCACCTGATGACGGAAGCTTGTGTTGCCTCCGAAACGTCGTGATTTAGTTATTTTTATTTTATTTCATCAAGGTGAAACCCACAATTCCAGTGGCGGTGTTACTCACGTGCCGATGTTACTCACGTGCTGGTAGTACTCCATGACGACGAGGAACTCGGGCCGGCCGTCAGGGCCGCTGCGCTCCTCAGCGGCGATGAAGCGCGTGATGTTGCCGTGCGCGACCAGCGGCAGGCGGTAGATCTCGCGCTCGTTCAGGAAGTTCTGCCGGTTCTCCAGCGACGTCACCTTCACTGCCACCGTGCACTCGTCCAGCACCCCCTTCCACACCGCGCCGTAGCGCCCGCGACCTATTTGCTGTGCGCCACAGGCGCGGGGGGTGGGCGAGGTGGAGGGAGGGGACGGCAGGGGGTGACGGTTACGAGAAATTCGTGCGAATCGACAAGACGGACCCTCTGTTTGCCCTTTTAGCCGTGGCGGCGGTGGCTCTGGTGGCTCCGCTGCTGTGGAGGCAGCAGCTTGCGATGGTTGGTGGATCACCGCACACGCAGAGATCGATGTCGAGGATGAGGCCATACCCTGGGCTCGCCACGAGAAGGCAGTGCAACAGATGTGGATGGACTACACATGTGCCTGTCTCTGGTTCTTTCGGTAAAGTCACGTAGTTAGAAATAAAATAAATCACGACTTTTAAAATTTTATTTGATTTCTAACTACGTGACTTTACCGAAAGAACCAAAGAGTATGGATTCCTGCAGTCACGAAAGCTTCAAATCAAGAATGTTCCTGTCTGTACAGGATATAGTATTTTCCCCCTCGCAAATGTGGGTTTTATCCTAGTGCTTCAGTTCCCGCCCGTGTTTAAACATTAAATTGGGCGCCAACACCTTCATACGTAGAGGACAGCAGAGCTTGGGCAATTTTTGGTGCAGTGGGTCCATCTTGTGGCCGCTTTTCTGCCCACCCGTGGTTTCCGTGCCCCTCTGAGCGAGCGAGCGACTGCCACGCAGCGCCGCGGCACGAGATCAAGTCGTCACGAGGACTATCCTGGTGTGGTGCGGGGAGCTGGCAGGGCGTTGGGCTGGCGCTGCTGACATGCTGGTCTCAAATCCGGGTTCAGTCGCCCGCTGTTAAGCCGTCTCTCGAGTGGAGTGAGCTAATGCTCTCCGCACGGTGGGAACAAAAACCCGGCACGTTCAATTTGGTCCTGAAGCTGATTTGTCTAAATTCCAAGTTCGACAATTTAAAATATCTGTTTGACTGTCACGAAACAAACGTTTCTCTCTGTCGCCATGGCCAGGTTGGTGGGAAAGTGCTGCCACATCCTGAAGTGGCCAGGAGGTGGCAGCACTGCCGCACCCCCACTTTGGGTTCTCCATAAAAGAGTTTTTTTGGGTTAGATCGCTGTAAATGTATAAATGTGTCGTTAAACCCGCCACCACCCGACACAGCCAATTAATAAGGTTTGTCACGTAAACAGAACATTCCAATGCATCACTAGTACAGCACACCGGTGTGTTGGAGAGCCAAGTCTCAACATTTACAATCTGAGTACGACGTTTCGCCAGTAATTCCAACTAGCTTCATCAGGCGACAGCCAGATTTGTGAAGAAGTCCATGGGATCTGTGAACTCTATGGGTTCTACACCTCTGTGGGATCTGTTAACTCTATGGGTTCCGCACCCCTATGGGATCTGTTAACTCTATGGGTTCGACACTTCTATGAGCTCCATTCGCTACGTGTTGATGTTGAAATTCTTTCGCACGGTACGTAGCCAACCGCGCTAATCTGAGGTGCGGGGGAAGAACAACAAACTAAACGCACAAAGCAGTTCTCAAGAAATTAGTGTTCAATCTCACAGACATACATAAGTTGCGCACCTCTATGAGCATGAGTTTGTTGGTGTCGATGCTGGGATAAGGCTGGGCTTCTGCTGCTCTTCCCCTCTTCCTCTTCCACTGCTCTGCGGGGGTGACACGCACGGCCGTGGTCATGCACGGCACCGGCACAGCCGAGCGCACCGCATCGGCTACGTACGGTGCGAAAAAAGGTCAACACACACACACAAGTGCACCGCTCTCTCCAAAACGCCATCGTCTCCGTAAACAGCCGCGGTCAGGAGCGGGCATTTATTTTAAACTTTAATTTCGATGTCGTGAAGACGAACGGGCACTCACTGTGGCCCTGGCGCAGCGCGTAGAGCAGCGCGGCGAGCAGCGTGGCGGCGGCGGTGAGCGACACGAGCACCACCACCATGGCATGGCCGCCCGGGGCCACCGGCGCCGGCGTCACCTCTTCTGCAGCAGCGCACGCAGCGAGCACGCACTCTCATCACTCTACGTTCACTCTGACACTCTCACTCCGCTCTCAATGACACTCCACTCACACTCCACTCACACTCCACTCTCCGCTCTCACTGATACTCCACTCACACTCCACTCACACTCCACTCACACTCCACTCTCAGTCCGCCCTCACTCCACTCCCACTCCACTCACACTCCGCTCACACTCCACTCTCAGTCCGCTCTCACTGATACTCCACTCACACTCCGCTCACACTCCACTCACACTCCACTCACACTCTCACTCCGCTCTCACTGACACTCCACTCACACTCCGCTCACACTCCACTCTCACTGATACTCCACTCACACTCCACTCACACTCCACTCACACTCTCACTCCGCTCTCACCGATACTCCACTCACACTCCACTCACACTCCACTCTCAGTCCGCTCTCACTGACACTCCACTCACACTCCACTCTCGCTCCGCTCTCACTAACAATCACTCCGGCTCTCGCTCACACTCCTGTCATGCACGCTACACCCTCACTCAGATTCCACTCACTCCTCTCGGCTCACTCCGCCGTTTACTCACACGCGGGGTTACCATGCACGGGGGACACGCACGAAAGCTGCAGCCCTCTCGGTATCGGGGCCATGACGAGCAAACGGGTTCTGTTCTTAACTGCAATTTGTATTTTATTTGACCAGGTAAGGCCCACTGAGCGGTATATCTCTTATTTAGAAGCGACCTGGCTATGACGAATGATAGCTCAACGAAGTGGCTCATCATCTTGACTTAACACTTTCGTGACTACAGGAATTCATATTCTTTGGTTCTTTCGGTAAAGTCACGTAGATGGAAAAAAATAAGAATAAAAATAAAGTGAATAACATTTATTAAAATTAAAAAACACTAATGTAGGCTGTAGCCTGGTTCTTAATCAAAGTGAGTGTACTGGCTGCATTTGTCTTAGACCATCAAATCCACCATGAAGGTAGAACATTATGCCATGCTACCTTTCTTGGATGTCTTAATAAAAAAGAGACCAGATGACTCAATGAGCCATTCTGTCTACAGGAAAGTAACCCATACTGACACCTACCTAAAACTTGATTCCCACCACCATCCATTCCAGAAGAATTCCCTCATAAAAACGCTACACCATAGAGCTCAATGTATCTCCGACATGAACACCTAACCAGTAAACTCTAACACGTACACCAAGCTCTCAAGGTGAATGGATATTCTGACTACACAAGCCGCAAGGCCACCACCCCAACCGTGAGGAAGGAGCCATCTGAGGATCCAATAAAAACCATCACCCTGCCATACATAGCTGGGGTAACCAAAACTATTTCCAAAATCATGAACAAACACAAGATCCAGGTCTGATTTAACACAGTACATACAATGCATGATCTGATTCCATCTGTAGAGGACAAGATTCCTGACATGCAATATCCTGGCGTCTACAAACTAAGCTGTATCTGCGGCAACAATTACATTGGGGAAACTCATCGACATGTCTCGGACCGTGTTCGTGAGCATAAGGCAGATTTGAAACACGGTAGGACCAATACTTCTGCCGTGGCTGATCATTACTCTAATGGGGCTGGCTCACACGAAATTGATTTCTCTAAGCCTACTGGCTATCAACAAAGATTCGTTCATGAAGCCATCCATATATACAGACACACACACAATTTCAACCGAGAGGATGGTTATAAACTCAGCAATCAATGGAAAGATGTCATAAACCACTTTGGGTCATGACTTGATTTGTGTTTTATTGTCAACCTCTAACGTCAGAAGTGTGGTTGTGTGTGGAGCGAGGTGCCATGATTGCCTGGCGGCCCTTTGATTGGTGTAGACCCACTGCCGGTTAGGGCTGAACGATTTGGGGAAAATATAAAATTGTGATTTTTCTGACAGATATTGCAACTGCGATTTGATTTTCGATAAAAAAAATTAAGTCAAGCTTTAGTTGAACATTCACTGTGTAATAGATTTAAAACATGTGATGGAGCATTACCACATGATATCAAAATATGAACTGATCTATATATTCTAATGCAAGGATGAGAACTTAAAAGATATGAATTGCTTCCAACATGTATTTATTTTAAAAAATAATAATTTAAATAGAACAATCAAACGTAGAACAATTGTTAAGTTAAATAAATAAAGTTATAATAATACAAAATATAAAATTCCAATAAGAAAGTAATAGGACTTTTAAAATCGCAAAAATCGCAACCTTGCGATTTGCTAATCGCATTGCGTCAAATTTCGATTTCGATTTGAAATCGATTATTCGTTCAGCCCGACTGCCGGTGTCGTTGTTTTCTCTACATCAACATCAGCTGCCCCGCCCATGCTGCTGACACACTTGGGCTACGCCCATCTCTAAACCTTTATAAACAGTTTGCCTTTAGAGGCTAACCCCCCTTTACCTGATGACAACCACTTGTGTTGCGATCGAAACGTCGTGGTTTTTTAAATTCAACATTATAGACTGCCAGTACGCTCACTCAAGTTAAGAACCAGGCTACAGTCTACATTAATTCTAGATTTGAAGCTTTCGTGACTGCAAGGATCCATATTCTTAGGTTTTTTCGGTAAAGTCACGTAGGTAAAACATTAAAATTAATAAAAGTAAAATAAAATAAAAAATCACGACGTTTCGGAGGCAACACAAGCCTCCGTCTTCAGGTGGAACCGTCACAGCCACGACAGCTGTATCAAGTAAATGAGAGATTGCAGGAGCTACCACTCCGTTTATATAATGGTTGGAGAGGGGGGAAGGGGCAAATGCAGCACACTTTTTATTCATATGGTAAGGTGAGGCTTAAGAGGGTGAGTCTTTGTTATGGAGAGGTACGGTTTGTGACTCAACCTGGCCTACCTAACAAAGAGAAACAACTAAACATGGTAAACCTGTGATAGTTGTCTCTCAAATAAGATTGGCCAAATAAGTGTAGTTAAATTTTTTTTTGCATGGTTAATCACATCTTTCCAATGATTACTCAGTTTGTAACCATCATCACGGTTGAAATTATGTCTGTGTTTGCATATTTGTATGGCTTCGTGTACAAACCTTTGATGGTAGCCAGGAGGTTTGCAGAGAACCTTGGTCTCAGAAAAGACAATTTCATGAGAGCCCACCGAGTTGTAGCAATGATCGGCAACGGCCGAAGAATCAGTTCTGCCGTGTTTCAGATCTGAATTGTGCTCGCGGACACGATCAGAAACATGACGTTTCGTTTCTCCAATGTAGCAATCACCACTAATGCAACTCAATTTGTAGACTCCAGGATACTGTAAGTCACGTTACCATACATAGCAGGCGTGACCAAAAAGATCTCCAAAATTCTAAACAAACATAAGATCCAAGTCCGATTCAGTACAGTGCATAAAATCCGTGATCTGATTCCATCTGTGAAGGATGTCGTTCCTGACTTACAGTATCCTGGAGTCTACAAATTGAGTTGCATTTGTGGTGATTGCTACATTGGAGAAACGAAACGTCATGTTTCTGATCGTGTCCGCGAGCACAAGTCAGATCTGAAACACGGCAGAACTGATTCTTCGGCCGTTGCCGATCATTGCTACAACTCGGTGGGCTCTCATGAAATTGTCTTTTCTGAGACCAAGGTTCTCTGCAAACCTCCTGGCTACCATCAAAGGTTTGTACACGAAGCCATCTATATATATAAAATCGCAAATCTGTCTGTCTGTCCGTCTGTCTGTCTGTGTGTGTGTCTGTCTGTCTGTCTGTATGTCGCCGGACCATACGCAGTTTCATTGGACGGCGGTTGCCCCTGGCAACGGGTAGCGACGCATTCGCTGCGGGGTGGACGCCATTTTTAATTCCCGTTAAAAATATGCGCACGCATTAACACGCGACTCTGAGGTAAATTCATCAAAGTTTCACCTCCTCTTCACTCCCCCCCCCCACCACAATGTGTGCAATTACTATTATAGGGTTGGTAGATAATAAAATTATAGCGATTAGACAGTATTATTGTAGCGCGGGGGGGGGGGGGGGGGTAACGGCCCCTGTACCCAGCCTCAGCCGGGTGGGCAATTTAGGCGAGGCCGGAGGCTCTGCACGGTACTAGGCCTCGACACCCCACCACACTATAGGCTGTACATATTACTGCACAGCGGCCCAGGAGATCGTGGCTGGGGGGGGGGGGGGCAGGGGTAGCAGCCCATCTGTGTATATATGTAAGGTTATTAAGAAATATATTTTTCACCCGGGCAACGCCGGGTACTTATGCTAGTACAAATATACAAACACAGACATAATTTCAACCGTGATGATGGTTACAAACTGAGTAATCATTGGAAAGATGTGATTAACCATGCAAAAAAGATTTAACTACACTTATTTGGCCAATCTTTTTTGAGAGACAACTATCACAGGTTTACCATGTTTAGTTGTTTCTCTTTGTTAGGTAGGCCAGGTTGAGTCACAAACCGTACCTCTCCATACCAAAGGCTCACCCTCTTAAGCCTCACCTTACCATATGAATAAAAAGTGTGCTGCACTTGCCCCTTCCCCCCTCTCCAACCATTATATAAACGGAGTGGTAGCTCCTGCAATCTCTCATTTACTTGATACAGCTGTCGTGGCTGTGACGGTTCCACCTGAAGACGGAGGCTTGTGTTGCCTCCCAAACGTCGTGATTTTTTATTTTATTTTACTTTTATTAATTTTAATGTTTTACCTACGTGACTTTACCGAAAAAAACCTAAGAATACAGTCTACATTATAGACTGCCAATATGCTCACCAGCTTAAAAACCAGGCTACAGTCTACATTATAGACTGCCAGTACACTCACCGAGGTTAAGAACCAGGCTACAGTCTACGTTACAGACTGCCAGTACACTCACAAAACTTAATAACCAGGCTACAGTCTACATTGTAGACTGCCAGTACACTCAGGTTAAGAACCAGGCCTTAGTCTACATTCTTTTTGTTTATTATTATTTTATTATTATTTTTATTTTCATTAACTTTATTTCGCATTATTCTTTTCCTATCTACGTGACTTTACCGAAAGAACCAAAGAACATGGCTCATCATCGTGTGGGAATTTAAAGCGATGTAACTCTAAACTTGGAGGGAAAACACAAAGGAGCCGGAGAAAATCCACGCGACCACGGGGAGAGAGACACGCAAACTCCACATTTAGAGCAGGTATCACAGGATCGGGATCGAACCCATGAGTCCGGTATAACAGGCGAGCGAGATAAGATCTCGCCTTGGTGCTGCCCAGCCTGCCCCATCCCTAACGCAGCCCCTCACACACAGCACAGTTCCGTGCTGAACCGGGCCCAATGCGGATTCTTGCGATTTTGCGCAGAGCTCCTCGCTGTAACGCACGCCACAGCGGCGTGCCACTTGTGCGCACGGTTCAGCTCAACTTGGTTATGTTTTTTTAGTTCGCAGTTATCAATTCCAAAATCCACAGCAATCAATTCCGGCGACAGTGCTGGGGGAGGAACGATCGTGTGTGTGCGTGGGAGAAACGTGCGCGTGTGTGGCGCCGTCATTCCGAGAGCCCCTTGGGCTGCCATGTCTGCGAGCGAGCGATCGAGTAAACAATCGAGCACGCGATTGAGAATGCGATCGATCGAGCGATCGAGTGCGAGGGTCGTCGCTCACAGCGCTCGCTCCGCGTTGTGTTTGTTGGCCGACAGCCGCGGCAATTAAACTCGAGCTGGGAAACGATACGACTCGGAGCTGTATTTACATTCGACTCCGCAAAAGTAAACGACTCCAGCGCAGCCTCGGCGAAAAGCGTCGACGCAGCAGCAGCAGCCGCTGCAGCAGCTGCAGCCGCTGCAGCCGCTGCTGCAGCTGTTACTGCTGCTGCAGCTGCTGCTACTGCTGCTGCTACTGCTGCTGCTCCAGCTGCTGCTGCGGCTGCTGCTGCGCGGTTCAGCGGTTGCGTTGTATCGAGTTGACGCTGCAATGGACCCCGCCGCTCTAAACCAACAATCGCCTCTTTATTATTATTATTCCACGCTTTTATTTAACTCACTCCGTCTGTTGTCGTATCCTTAAAGCATCTTGTAACTCAATTTTATCCACTTCCCAATGTGTTATCGACTGCAAACTTGGTATACTTACGTCATACTGATGACAAGACTATATTCTATCATAAAAAAAATATTTTTTAAAACATTTGACACGCTTTTATTTAACTCACTCTGTCCGTTGTCGTATCCTCAAATCTTGTAACTCAATTTCAACCGTCTTCCCAATGTCGTATCGACTGCAAGCTTGGTATAGGTATGTCATACTGATGACAATACTATATTCTATCATTAAACATTTAAAATATATATTTTTCAACAATCTTTTTTACGGGTCTAATTGTCCACGCTCAACTCACGTTGCCTGTAAATCACCACGCTCCCTTACGCTGTGGCAAGCTGCGGGGCCACTGTCTGGAGTCGTGGAGTTCTGCCATTACGAGTACGGTTCATTTCATTAAAGCGTGTTTAAAATTTTTTTTATATTTTATTCTTCATTTCAGTTCGCCCGTCGGCGCAAGGTCACGAGACGCATGGGTCCACTCGGACCCCCCCCCCCCCACCCCCCACCCCCCACCTGTGGGCGCCAGGGTGGCGGTGGCGACGTTGCAGAGGTCCTCGCTGCAGCAGCAGAACAGCGTGAAGTCGACGCTGCACGTTTTGCTGTCGCACCCGTTGCTGCTCTTCATGAAGCATCCTGCCGTAGCGCGCACGCATGCACAAGGAGTCCTCAGTGTGGCTTGCATGTCGGAAGGGGCACAATCAGTCACTACAAGTGCACACACGTGGGGGACGCACGCACTCACAAACACACAGAGACACACGAACAAGACGAAGACAAAGATCCCCCGTGTAGCCTTAACAGACTGTTGGGCAAGTGCTGTCATCGAGCACCTTTGAAGGCCGGCACGGTACACGAGGGGGTGGGTGGCCAACACCACGCCCGGCCGCCTTTGTCTCCCCAGTGGTGGTTTTCAACACATCGCACCAGGTACCCATTTGAGACTGAGTCGACCTCGGGGAGCCCTAAGACCGGTTAAAATAATCGTCACCGGTGTCGACCGCGAGCGGGAATCGAACTCGGCTCACTCCTGCGCGTGGACCCGCGAAGCGAAACCGACTCAGAGACAATTCAGGCTGCCGTCTAAGACGGCGTTCGAGTAAACCCGACCCCAAAAACACAGAAACTCGGGGTGCCGGGAAGAGTGCGCAGGGGAGGAGTGGGACGGGGCTGGGAGAGGGCTGGGAGAGGGCTGGGAGAGGGGTGCTGGAGAGGGCTGGGAGAGGGGTGCTGGAGCTCGAGATCCATCGCGGCTCGGGGGTCAGGGAGCGTCACGCCCGGCAGTGACCCCACCCGGCAGTGACCCCACCCGGCAGTGACCCCGCCCGGCAGTGACCCCGCCCGGCAGTGACCCCGCCCGGCAGTGACCTCGCCCGGCACCTCGCGTCATCCCCACGGCCCCTTCTCAACTCGCACTGCAACTCCGCACAGCGGGGTGCGCGTGCATGCGGGTGGCACGGGAGACGCGCGTGTTGTCGTCGGCGCAGAGGGCACCGCGTGGCTGGCGCGACGCCGAAGCGCGGGACGCGATGCAGTTTCTCGCCCTCTCGGGAGAGCGGGGGGGGGGGGGCTCTGAAAGGAATCGCCGTTTTTTTTCTTCCCCGGAGTAAGAACGACATTCCCAGAAGCAGAAGAAGACGGCACGGCGATGTGGGGGGGGGGGGGGCGATCTGATCACGGCTGCGAGTCCCCCCCCACACCACCCGGTGGTGTCCTGCGATTGGCTGTCGAACCCAAACACGCGGAGCAACGCGCAGGAAAAGCGGCTTCCGATTCTCACGCACGGTGCCGCTGGAACGCTCTGAATTTGAACGGTCACACGCGCGCACCCGCCGACACTCTCTTGGCAAAGATTAAAAATATATATTTAGAATCACTCCGATCCATCGGCCGCGGACGAAGGCCTCGTCCGCCCAGGCTGTCGGCGTCGCTCGCGGCCAATTTCGCCGCTCCATCTCACGCGGCGGACGTCCTCTCGGCGCGGCGTGCTTCCGCTCCCGAGGAGCGTTCGGCCCGAGCCACCTTCATCTTTCTCATAAGTTCATTAAAAGTGCAGCCCCCCTGTCGATCCACTGCTGGATGGAGGGCTCGTCCCTCCGCGTCAGCCGTGGAAGGTCGCTTGACCATACGTCGCCACCAGATTGGTCAGCGCCGGGTTCGGACATCGCTCTGCCCTGACGTTAGCCGTGGCCAGGGATCGAACGAGGGTGGCCAGGTTCGGGGCTACGGTGCCGCACGAGCCATAGTTAATCGAGTGACGAAGAGTTAACTGTGCATACGAATCTAATAAAGACGTGTAGATTATTATCGTGACTATGCTTGTTTACTCAGGAAAGCTTCACTGAGTCTCAAGACTCAGTTTCAGGAGGGTCCTGCCAGGCTTTCGCAGCAGGGGGGTGTGATATGTGTTGAACTTCATTCGCACCGTACGTAGCCAACCGTGCTAATCGGAGGTGTCGAGGAAGGACAACAAAATAAACACAAAAAGTGGTTCTTAAGAAATGAGTTTTCAATCGAGACGATGATTTGAAAGTGCGTGGCTCCAGTGGCTTCCTATTATCGGTGCTCGATGGCCAGCCAAACGCCGCTGCTGCGAGGATGACCGCAGTTCCCGTGATAATGGTTTCTGCTCCTTGATGAGATCAGCGGCCAGGTATTGTGGTTCATTTGTGGCAAGCACTTTGTGTACAATCAGTGCGACCTTATAACAACGTATTCCTTTGGCAACCGGAAGCCAATGCACCTCAGGGAGCACTGGACGGACTACGGTGTTGGATCTTGCAGTGCCCGTCACGGGGTGGGATACAGAGAGCGTTGCACGTGACACGTGTTTCTGCGTGTTCACACAACGCCGGCAAGCGCGGAAAAATAAAACCCAACCGGAGGGTGTAAGAAACGTCATTTGTTTAGATGCGCAATTACGTAATTCACTTAGCAGGGGACGCGCGGCTGGACTTGCGCAGAAAGGCAACGGACCCTGACTCGACGGGGCCAATATTAGAAAGCGCCATGGGAACGTGGAGTTTCCACCGCTGGCTCAGGGCCGCGTTCAGGAGACGGGTGCCGCGTCACTTCCCGCAGGATCGCTGGACTTTGACCACGCGATGTGCGAGCTCAACGAGTGGCGCGCGCACGAGTCACCGATCAAAATACTCCCCTGCAATGTTGACGGCCGCACAATAACTGCATCTGGGATGATGGCGGTGGCGATGATGATCATCATGAATGATGATGATGATAATCATTGATGATGATGATCATTATGATTGACGATGATGATCATCATTGATGATGCTCATCGTGATTGATGATAATGATCATCACGATTGATGATGATGATCATCATGATTGATGGTGATGATCATGATTGACGATGATGATCATCATGATTGACGATGATGATGATCATTATGATTGATGATGATGATCATCATGATTGATGATGGTGATCATCATGATTGACGATGATGATCATCATTGATGATGATCATCGTGATTGATGATGATGATCATCATGATTGATGATGATCATCATCATGATTGATGATGATGATCATCATGATTGATGATGATGATCATCATTTCTAGATTCGAAGCTTTCATGACTGCAAGGATTCATACTCTTAGTTCTTTCGGTAAAGTCACGTAGGTAAAAAATGAAATTAAAATTAATAAAAATAAAACAATAAAAATCACGACATTTCGGAGGCAACACAAGTCTCCGTCATCATGTGGGACTGTCACAGCCAGATTTGCTGCATCAAGTGAGGGAGGGATTCAAGATGTAAGCTCTTAAGTACCAGTTAAGGGGGGAGGGGGGAGGGGCTTATCAGAATGTGGTAGCCAATGAATGGAACGTATCGGGAGGGGGGGGGGCTAACAGAGGGACGGGGTACTCGTGGTCGTGGTCAACGACGTGTTTGTGCGCAAGTCACTGTGGATGTACATAATAGAAAGGAAAGAAAATGCCCATGTTTATACCAGTGTTGGCTGACAATAAAGAGAGTACTGTTAAACGTTAGGGATGTTAACACTCGGTAAAGTCAAAAATTGTGTAATTAAATGTTTTTTGCATGGTTGATAATATCTTTCAAATGATTACTAAGTTTGTACCCATCATCACGGTTGAAATTATGTCTGTGTTTGTATATCTGAATGGCTTCGTGTACAAACCTTTGATGGTAGCCAGAGGGTTTGCAGAGCACCTTAGTCTCAGAGAGAGAGAGACACAGACCTCCTGTATACCAGGCGAGGTAGTTAACATCTCATAGCCACCGTGATAATGATGAGAGAGAGAGAGACACAGACCTCCTGTAGACCAGGCGAGGTAGTTAACATATCCTAGCCACCGTGATGATGATGAGAGAGACACAGACCTCCTGTAGACCAGGCGAGGTAGTTAACATCTCCCAGCCACCGTGATGATTATGAGAGAGAGACACAGACCTCCTGTAGACCAGGCGAGGTAGTTAACATCTCCCAGCCACCGTGATGATTATGAGAGAGAGACACAGACCTCCTGTAGACCAGGCGAGGTAGTTAACATCTCACAGCCACCGTGATGATTATGAGAGAGACACAGACCTCCTGTAGACCAGGCGAGGTAGTTAACATCTCACAGCCACCGATGATGATTATGAGAGAGAGACACAGACCTCCTGTAGACCAGGCGATGTAGTTAACATCTCACAGCCACCGTGATGATTATGAGAGAGAGACACAGACCTCCTGTAGAACAGGCGAGGTAGTTAACATATCCTAGCCACCGTGATGATGATGAGAGAGACACAGACCTCCTGTAGACCCGGCGAGGTCGTTAACATCTCCCAGCCACCGTGATGATTATGAGAGAGAGACACAGACCTCCTGTAGACCAGGCGAGGTAGTTAACATCTCCCAGCCACCGTGATGATTATGAGAGAGAGACACAGACCTCCTGTAGACCAGGCGAGGTAGTTAACATCTCACAGCCACCGTGATGATTATGAGAGAGACACAGACCTCCTGTATACCAGGCGAGGTAGTTAACACCTCCCAGCCACCGTGATGATTATGAGAGAGAGACACAGACCTCCTGTATACCAGGCGAGGTAGTTAACATCTCATAGCCACCGCGGCGGCGCCCCCAATGGTGGCCCAAAGCCTCCTCCTGTGAGATGGCCCCAGCGGTGTGGGGCGAGGAAGAGCATCGACCCCCCCCACCCTCCCCCCGCGTCCCCCCATCCCCCCCCCATCGTCCCACCCCCCGCAGCCCCCCCACCATTCCCCCTCTCCCCGCGCTCCCAGGAGGATGTCTGTGCGCTGACCCCCCTGACCCAGGCCCCAGCCTCTCACCCGCCTCCTCCTCTTCTCCGTCGCTTCCTCTGCCCGAAGAGGGTTTTATTTAAAGGATAAGTCCAACAGATTTAGATATTGTGCGCGCGTGCGCGTGTGTGTGTGTATGCACAAATGTCAATGGGACACGTCATAGGCGTTTCGTGACCGATACTATTAATAATAAAGGGTTTTAATGGGGTTAGATCACGCGAATGCAAATGCGTCATTAAAACCCGCCACCGCCTCCCCCCCCCGACACAGCCAACTGGGAAGGATCGTCACGGGCACAGACCGTGCCAGTGGGTTCCCGTTCCAGCACGCCGGTTGTGTGTTGGAGCGTAAACCCACAACATTAACAATTCAAGTAGCGTGACGTGTCGCTGGCGAGTAACGAAAACAACGACCAGCTTCATCAGGCGATTAGCCCGAATTGTGACGAAGTCTTCCTGTGTCCGCTCCTAAGAGTCACGTGACGTCATCACCGTGTCGGGTGGTGGTGGGTTAACGACACAGATCATATTGACGCCATCTAACCCAATAGCCTTCATCATGAACTTAAAATATCACCCTGCACTCGGGCAGGACAGGTTACGCAGAATGTGATCACGTGGCATTGTTCTCTCTGCGTCGACAGCTCGGAGGCGCCACTCGACGGCACTCCGCCTGGCGCTTCTCTCTTCCTCATTCCCTCTCACCACCACCTGCCCACTCACCTCCTTCAACTCATTCCCTCTCACCACCACCTGCCACTCGCCTCCTCCAACTCATTCCCTCTCACCACCACCTGCCACTCACCTCCTTCAACTCATTCCCTCTCACCACCACCTGCCCACTCACCTCCTTCAACTCATTCCCTCTCACCACCACCTGCCACTCACCTCCTTCAACTCATTCCCTCTCACCACCAACTGCCCACTCACCTCCTTCAACTCATTCCTTCTCACCACCACCTGCCCACTCACCTCCTTCAACTCATTCCCTCTCACTACCACCTGCCCACTCACCTCCTTCAACTCATTCCCTCTCACCACCACCTGCCCACTCACCTCCTTCAACTCATTCCCTCTCACCACCACCTGCCCACTCACCTCCTTCAACTCATTCCCTCTCACCACCACCTGCCCACTCACCTCCTTCAACTCATTCCCTCTCACCACCACCTGCCACTCACCTCCTCAACTCATTCCCTCTCACAACCACCTGCCCACTCACCTCCTTCAACTCATTCCCTCTCACCACCACCTGCCCACTCACCTCCTTCAACTCATTCCTTCTCACCACCACCTGCCCACTCACCTCCTTCAACTCATTCCCTCTCACCACCACCTGCCACTCACCTCCTTCAACTCATTCCCTCTCACCACCACCTGTCCACTCACCTCCTTCAACTCATTCCCTCTCACCACCAGGAGGGGGAGGAGGGGGTGGATGAGGAGGGGGAGGAGGAGGAGGAGGGGAGAGGGGGAGGAGGAGGAAGGGGGAGGAGGAGGAAGAGGGGAGAGGGGGAGGAGGGGGAGGAGGAGGAGGGGGAGGAGGAGGAGGGGGAGGAGGGGGTGGAGTAGGAGGGGGAAGAGGAGGAGGAGAAGGGGGAGGAGGAGGGGGAGGAGGAGGGGGAGGAGGAGGAGGGGGTGGAGGAGGAGGGGGAGGAGGAGGAGGGGGGAGGAGGAGGAGGAGGGAGAGGATGAGGAAGGGGGAGGAAGGGGGGAGGAGGAGTGGGAGGAGGAGGAAGGGGGAGGAGGAGGAGGGGGAGGGGGAGGAGGGGGAGGAGGGGGAGGAGGAGGAGGGGGGGGAGGAGGAGGAGGAGGGGAAGGAGGAGGAAGGGGGAGGAGGGGATGGGGAGGAGGAGGAGGGGTAGGAGGAGGAGGGGGGGGAGGAGGGGGAGGAGGAGGAGGGGGAGGAGGAGGAGGAGGGGAGAGGGGGAGGAGGGGGAGGAGGAGGAGGGGGAGGAGGAGGAGGGGGAGGAGGGGGTGGAGTAGGAGGGGGAAGAGGAGGAGGAGAAGGGGGAGGAGGAGGGGGAGGAGGAGGGGGAGGAGGAGGAGGGGGTGGAGGAGGAGGGGGAGGAGGAGGAGGGGGAGGAGGAGGAGGGAGAGGATGAGGAAGGGGGAGGAGGGGGGGAGGAGGAGTGGGAGGAGGAGGAAGGGGGAGGAGGAGGAGGGGGAGGAGGGGGAGGAGGGGGAGGAGGAGGAGGGGGGGGAGGAGGAGGAGGAGGAGGGGGATGGGGAGGAGGAGGAGGGGGAGGAGGAGGAGGGGGAGGAGGAGGAAGGGGGAGGAGGGGGAGGAGGAGGAGGAGGGGGAGGAGGAGGGGGAGGAGGAGGGGGGGAGTAACCTGTACCCCAGTCAGCCGGGCGGGCGTGCAGGTTACTCAGACACGTGGACACGCATTCAGCAAGGCGGGCAGCCATTCAGACAGACACACAGACGGGCACGCTTCGGGACAGACACACAGGAAGACGGGCAGGCAGGTAGGCGGGCATTTGGATAGACACAGACAATGAGCCATTCAGACAGACACAGACAAACAAAGATAGATGGATACACATACACAGACACACGAGACAAAGATCCCCCGAATAGCCTTAACAGACTGTTGGGGGAAGTGCTGTTAGCGAGCAGCTATAAAGGGCAGCACGACACACGAGGCGGTGGGTGGCCAGCATCACGCCCGGCCGCCTTTGTCTCCCGAATGGCGATGTTTACACACCGCACCAAGTACTCATTTGCGGCCGAGTCGACCTAGGGGAAGCCCAGAACCGATTCAGACAATTGCCAGTGGCGTCGGTGGTCGTGAGTGGGAATCGAACTCGGCTCGTCGGGTTCGTAGCGCGGAACGCTAACCGCTACGCACCACACACAGACAAAACACACACAGACAAAACACACACACACATACATACAGACAAAAGACAAACACACACAGACACACACACACCTTGAGTGGAGGCCCGCAGTCCCTGGCTCGTGTTCTTGTAGTAGGCGAAGCAGGCGTCTTTCTCGTCGCACAGCGTCACGTTGGGTGCCTCCCCTGCCGTGGAGGGCAGCAGGGTGCTGTAGCAGCGCACGCGTCCGCTGGCTCCTGCACTCGAGCGCGCACGCACGCACACGCACGCACACACGCACACACACACACGCACACACACACACACACGCACACACACACACACACGCACACACACGCACACACATACGCACACACGCACACACACGCACACACATACACGTAAACAGGCGTGCAAACACACGTACACGCGCACGCACACATACACCTAAATACACGTGCGCACGCAGACACACACGCGCACACACACGCGGCGAGCCCCGCGTCATCAGCATGGCTGAGCCACGCGGACAGAAACGCATCACCGAGGCTTCTGCAGCAGCAAGGGGATGGTTGCCGTGTGGGATCCCGATTGAGTAATTGGCCAGGCACTCTAATGTGTCAGCACGTGGGTTTGTTTAGTCAAGACCAGGTACATTGTGTGGCGTTTAGCTCCGGGAGGAAGAACCGGAGAACACGCGTGCACGTTGAACTTGTTCCAACGGTGCCAAGTCGGAGATGCGTGAAAACCGGAGGAAACCCAACGCAGAACGGAGGGAAGATGGAGAACAGACAAAACTCCACGCAGATAGAAGCCCCCCGAGTTAGGAATATAATCCAGCCCCCCCCCCTCCCCACACCCTTCGTGCTACCACCTCCGCGTCATTATCAGGGCACATCTGTTTGCATGCTCAACGCAAGTACGTGTGGTTAATGCAATTAGGTAGAAATATGGTGTTTGAACATCTTTGCACCGGATTTATTTCCAGAATGGGTAAAAGCTATTCTTATTTTTCAAATTACAATTATGCATCAAAGGAAAACATCTTCAGCAAGGAAGGACCTACAATGTGAATGTCGGCCGAATTTCATTCACGAGGAGATTGGAGAACCCAGGGAAACCCCAGCGTACATACATGGTGGCGGCAACTCGCAGCCTACGACGACTGGGTTGCTCTAGCAGTGATCACCCATCCAATCCCCAACCATTCTCCCATCCAGCTTGGCTTCAAGAGCTGACGAGATTGGTGGTTCCGGTCACATGCTTAAGCATTTTCTGTGACGAAAGCTGCGATTGTGGGACTTGATGGGGGACCGAAGGGAGGGCAGAGCATACGACTTGGAGGTGGCGACTTCCAATGGAGGAACAAGAGGAAGTCTCCTCTACATTGACGAGATGTAAACTCCCTTGCCTGGTATGCAGGAGAGGTCGTGGGTTCGACCCAGATCCCTGTTGTATATTTGGAGTTTGCGTGTCTCTCTGTCTCCCGTGGTGGCGTGGATTTTTCTCTGGGTCCTCCACACGACCACGGGACGAGAGACAGAGAAAACACGCAAACTCCAAATATACAGCAGCAGGCATCGTCAGGGTCGAGATCGAACCCACAACCTCCTGCACACCAGGCGAGGTAGTCAACATCTCGGCCTCGGGAGGCTGATACGTGTTCTCTCCACTGAGGCATCTGGCTCAGATTTGCGGTCTAGTTTCTTGAGATTTGTAAACGACCCCCCCCCCCCACAACAAAAACAACTGGATGGCGACATGACCGCAACTCTTTCGTTGCGGTGGTCTAAACCGCACAATGGCCACATATTCAGTTCTTTGGGAGGCGGTGGTCAGGATGAGGCCGAGCGAGGGCTGTTGTACATCGCCGCGCGTGACGATAACTCCGACGGCTTTACCCGTGTGAGATTCCAAGCCAAAAAGCATAAAACCAACATTTGGGGAAGTTTCGCAAAAATAGGCAGCCTTGTTCGCGACGTCAAAAATCAACCTTAAAAATAATCGCTCGCCGATTGGCTTCATGTTTAAATGCACGTGCTTAGTCTGAGCAGGACACTAAAACCTCAAGTGACACTTGCCACAAAGCGGAAGGCCGAGACCACGCGAGATTATTGATGGGCGAGCGCCGCCACCGTCCCACACGTGTTTTCGCGAGTTCACGACGGCAGGAGGAAAACGAAAGGGCAGGCCCACGAGGAATTCCACGCACGTCCTGTGCACGCGGCCCCCGCTAAGATGGGGGGGGGGGGGTGGGGGGGCACCGACAACCCCCCCCCAACTCGCGCCCCCTCCTCCGCGTCTCTCGCTGCGCCGTTTTCGTGTTTTCGGCACCAACATCTGAACGGAAGCGCCCACAGCCTGCCCTCCTCTTCAGATGGCAGAAGCGTTGGCAGTAGCGATCTCGCACACGAACCCCTCTGCTTTGATTACCTCCCCCTTCTCTCACGCCCCCCCACCCCGCCCCCCACCCCAACCCCGCCCCCCACCGCGAGAACGGCCCCTGCAAGCGGAACCCCGAGCGCACCTGTGCCCCCCCCCAAGTCGGCTACGACTCCTGGAATCAACCCCCTGGATGCCGGCCACCACCACCACCACAGCGGCACGGTGGTGGTGCTGGTGGTGCTGATGGTGGTGATCGGCGCGTCAGGCGTTCAGCAACAAAGACCCCCTCTCCCCCCCCCCCCGTGTAGCCTCCACAGACTGTTGGGTCAAGTGCTGTTAGCGAGTAACACCTATGAAGGCCGGAACAGCACACGAGGTGGTGGGTGGCCAGCACCACTCCCGGCCGCCTTCGTCTCCCGAACGGCGATGTTTACACACCGCACCAGGTACTCAGTTGAGGCTGAGTCGACCTAGGGGAGGCCCAGGACCGGGTTCAAATAATGCGTCACTGCTGTTGGTGGCAGTGAGCGGGAAAGGAACGCCGGGTCGCCGGGCTCGTAGCGCAGCGCGCTACACGCTGCACCACCGCTAACAGCTGCACCACCGCTAACAGCTGCACCACCGCTAACAGCTGCACCACCGCTAACAGCTGCACCACCGCTAACAGCTGCACCACCGCTAACAGCTGCACCACCGCTAACAGCTGCACCACCGCTAACAGCTGCACCACCGCTAACAGCTGCACCACCGCTAACAGCTGCACCACCGCTCTAGCCCAAGACAACAACATGACGTGCACGACACCTGCTTTAGCGGCGTGAACGACGGCCGATCAGAGCCGCGCTCTGCCGAAGCAGCCCCCCATCCCCACAGCCACCCTGAAGCCCCAATCCCTTCCTCTGCAGCCTCCTCCCACCCCCTACATCCCCATACCGCCAGTCCTCTGCTCTCCATCATGCGTCGGTCTCCTGCCCGGCCGAGGGGGGTGGGAGGATGAGGCTGGGGGGGGAGGAGGCGGTGGGGGGGAGGAGGCGGTGGGGGGGAGGAGGCGGTGGGGGGGATGAGGCTGGGGGGGGGGTAGGAGGCGGCAGTGGCAGCAGCAGTGGAAGGGGAGCCCCTGCTGCTGCTGCTGCGGTGGTGGTGGTGGCGGCGACAGGAAGGCCGCCGGCTGCAGTCACGATCATCTTCCTGCCACGAACGGTCACATTGTAGCCGGCAGGAAGTGGGATCTCGTGGGATTGCCTCCCCCTCCACCACCACCACCACCACACACCCGACCGGTACGGCCCCTCCCCCCATCGCAAGCACCAGCCCCCCTCCCCGGGCCGAGGGAGGGCGCCCGCTCCGCTCGGCGTGCGGCGCCGTCCGAGTGGATCTCGGGGATTCTGGTGCGGGACGCTCCGCGCCGCCTCCTCCGCCCCGGCGAACGAGCAACGAAGCAATGCGGCACAACCTCTCCCGACGTGGGGCTCTCAGTAGGCACGTGGCAGGAGCTTCCTCGCACCTCCGATTAGCACGGTTGGCTACGTACGGTGCGAAAGAAGTTCAACATACACATCACATAAAAGCATTAAACTGACATTGGTGGCAGTTCCACAAATGGGTCCGTTTCAATCACAACAATGTCAAAACCTCCCAATGGCAGTGCTCACGAGGAGGGGGGGGGGGGGGGGGGAGTCTACCTAATTTAAAGAAAATAAAACAACGTAATTGGTTTTCGCCAAACATCCCAATGTTGAAAAATAACCTGAATTATTACTCAATTGGGATCACACAGAGCAGCAACAGCAGCAGCAGCAGCGTCGCTCTCACTACTGCTTTCAAACTTGGCAGGAACCCTCCTCCTGGAAAAATCCTGAAACTCGGTGACACTTTCCAGGGTAAACAAGCTGAGTGATAATGGTAATAATGTTTACAATAATAAGGCGAGGAGCAGTTACTTTGCAGGCGTTGGTTCTCCGTTTGTTTCCCGCTTCCTGATGATGTGAGACACGTGGTGGCTGTGACGATGTGAGACACGTGGTGGCTGTGACGATGTGAGACACGTGGTTGTGACGATTCTGATGATCGGTGCCATCCTCCTCGGCTCGAAACCGAGAAGAGATCGCTCCTCTCCTCTTGTGAACGTAGATCTCGGCAATGACCCCCACGACCCCCACCCCCTCACTGCTCGGGGTCCTGCTCTGTGCAACTCAGGTTTAGAGTCGACGTCGCGTAGCCAGGCGTACAACTCAGAGACAGGGTGAGTCTAATTTTAATGAGCCGCGGGATTTGTGTGTCCGTTCGGGGGCGATGGTTGCACGCCAAGTGCTGTGGTCCCCAATCGACGAAGAGTTTTTTGATCTTCGCCAAATCGATCGATCGATTAATCCTCCTGAGTATATCGATCGCGTTCGTTTCTAAACTAAACTAAACTTTGTATTTGATCAGGTAAGGCCCACTGAGCTATGTAGCTCTTTTTCAGAAGCAACATGGCGATCACAAATGATATTTCATTGAAGTGGCTTATCACGTAGAAATGTATGGCAGCCGAATACTATAAACGCACGTCGATTTTAAATGTGGAGGGCAAAACCAGAGGACCCAGAGAAAAATCAACGCCACCACGAGGAGAACATTCAAAATAACAATATACAGGTGTCAGGGGCGGGGTCAAACCCACTTCTAAATCTTTTGTAATCATTTTTGTATTACTTTAATATAAAAAAATGTTAATTTTGATTAATGTTTATTTTTCTGACTTTATGTGAACGAAAAAACAAAAATTCGCCCGTTTTCTCATAGAAAATAGGTAAAATGTCACTGTCCTGGTCACAAAAGCAAAGTTTGTGGGGAATAATAGCCATTTTCTGTACTTTTGAGGTATAAGTAA